AAGCAAGTGACATCACCAGAACAAGTTAAAGTCTGCAGGAAGAGGGGCCAAAGCGATGTGAGGATTCAGGTTTTATCAACAGTAAAAACATGTGTAATTTAAAGCTGGGATACCTAACTTTCATCCACCAACTGTTGAGCCGTGTTGGTCCACAGCTTTTCATCAAAAGTTAGAGATTCAATTTTTCTGAAAGCATAGACTCGCTTAATTAGACTATACTTAAAGGAGCAGTATGTAAAAATCTGGCCAAAAGTGGTACTGCACTCTCCCTGACTCAGGTTGCCAGATATGCAGATGAATCCAGCTGGGACCATAATATCTGAATCTAGAGTTTTCTCAACAACTAATCTATAACCAACACCTCTTTCACAAAGGCCCCAATAAAAGGCGGGACATCGAAATGAGCACGATTTAGGGGCTGTAGATCTAATTTAGAAATTCATAAATCTCAGTGGAACTACTGTTATCAGTTATAGACATATTTGAAAAGGGCATATTTGGGCAGTTTTATTAATGCTTTTTGACAGATTAGGGCCATTTATTGATGACTTGACATGAAAATCTTACATAGCTACTTTAATATTCACTTCTTGTTTTGTGTCTTCCTCATTCCTACTGTTCTGTAACTTGTGATGCAACAGAAATTTCCCCTCCTGTGCGACGCATAAAGGATCTATTAATCTTAAATGATTTGAAAAACCGAAAATCTACAAAACATCCCATTACTTTTAAACATTCTTTCCAAACACGTGGCAAGAATCAAATCTCGTCGTGGAGCAAAAAATACGCCGTGATACATTTGAGTGATATTAATCAAATCATTTATTATAAAATGTATATTACACTATAACGTGTCAGAAGTACTAAGAACTTGGCATAAAAAGGACATGCTAAAATAACATAAATAAAAGCGAAACCGTGAGACTTGTGCAACGCGGCTTTGGACCGCACGTTAACCTGCTTACGCCGCAGTCATATGATTCCATTAAAAAAAGAAGTGAAATTATAAAAGGCCAGACACTTCCCTTTCCATCCACTGTCACTAAAATCAAACTCTTGTGCGCTGACTCAGGACACAGCGTTGGCAAATAACACACACTTTAGTGAAGCCAGAAAATAGTTTACACACACTCTTACACTGCAGATGACAATGAGCCGATAGTTGCTTAAATTCTCCAAAATGTATCTTGATTTGAGTCTGTTTTGACCGTCGAACGCAAATATCTTGTAAGACGCTCGTGTGTTGGTAAGTTTTGCTTTGAAATGTAATGTTTTAACCCTTGAGTTAAAATTACCCACCAAAGTGATTAAAAGAGTAAGCCATACCCTAAATTATGGTTTAACAGGGTCTAAATGATCCAGGAAGGGTCAAGAGAGGAAAGTATTTTGGGGTATTTTTGTACAACTGTGGCACATTTAAACCATATTCTGCCATCTAGTGGTGTAACTGGAATATTACACTCTGCTTTTATAATACTATGTTTAAAGCTAGGATGTAAAACGTTTTGGTTTCACAGATCTTCTTTAACTTCTTTATCCACAACTTTGTAAAGTCCTCCGAGACGACCGCTGTTGAGATTTAGGGCTATACAAAAATAAATTGAATTGAACTGAAGCTCACAAATGATGATTTTGCATAACATAATTCCTTTAACCCAAGATTTCCCAATGGCTTAGGTGTTATTTCAACCACAGAATCATTTTTATCTCATTGTTAGAGAGAAACTTCTTAATACATTTGCCTTTATTCACATAAAAAGCAAGTTATTTCATAGTAATCTTGTTCCATTGATGCATTTTGCTTCAGGACGGTCACAACAAGACCTCAAACCTTGATAACGAACGAGTCACGTCAAGCGTTTACTGGCTTATTGTCTCAGTGCAGAGCGACGTACATTCAGCGTCTGGAGGAAAAGGAAATAAAATATATACACGGATTGGCAAAGTTACGTTGAAACGAACCGACGTGTAGAAACATTACATGGGAACACTGGACCTGGACGTGAAGCTCAGGATCCGCTCTCCGAATACAAAACTGTCGCACAACAGACGTAAAAGTATTGTCTTTAGTCGCCGCACTTTGGCATCACGCGAGCCAAAGTCACGGAAAGAGAGGAAGAGGAGGAGGCGGCAAAAACACTGACAGAAACCATGGAAACCGACCCACATGATGATAAATGCTTTGAAATGACTCTCAGTAGAAGCAGATTCTCCGATGGATCGAGGCCTGTCCTTGTCATATTTATGTGTTTCTTTGTGTTGGTGAAACAATAATCAGCAAATTGAATTAAACAAGGGCGAATAAGAATAGTTTGCCAATTTACAGATCAAACTAAATGACTAGCAAGCGCTGGTGGAAGCTAACGGGGAGCCAAACAAACTAATACATGGTATGGGTTGTGTGCATTGCGAAACTGAAATCTACCAATTTTCTTTGACAAATAAGGCTCTTTGATTCGTGTTTTAAGTACAACTATATTATGAGCAAGTGTTTTTCTTAATTTCATAAGGAACATAGCTTAGATTTCAGAAATTTCAGGATAAATAAACATTACTTACTTACTTACTAGGAACATTCTATAAGCAATTGTCAAAATACACTCAAAAACACATTTTTCCTCTGGCGGTGCAGTGAACTGAAGAGGCCACTGTGACCAGGCCACTGTGTTGCATCTATAAGAGTAAAACGTCTGGCTGCAAACTCCTTGTAGAGTTAACTACTGCGGAGAATCTGTTCTGAAGAATTGGTAAAAATAAGTTTGTATGTGTGGAAACTTCATGTAGACTGACATTTTCAGCCCACGTAGATTCAGTTCCTCTTCATACACACCTGGTATGAACACTTTGGGAGGAAATGGGGATTTGTTTGTAACGACAGATCAGTACAAGTGAAAATCACACACACAAAGTAGAAACACGTGTCTTTGATCATTTGAATGGGATTAAAACTAGCGAGTGGTGAATGTTTGTTATTATGTAGATGGGTAAGTGTGACATATTTTCCCTCGTCTGGGTTCAAAGCGATAAAATGCACAGATTCTCAAATGCACAGACATTCAGATACATCAGCTGAATGAGAAATGGCACATCAAGATGAGAGTGAATACAAAACATTTCCCTTTTTTAACCCTGTGTGCGAACGGAGACGGCACAGAGCGGCCATTTTGGATTCTAATCCCACTGAACCCCACGTTACTTCAGTTAATCTCAGAGGCAAAATCTGTTTAGTTCAGGCTTTGTATCCAGTAAACGCTTCCTCTTCGGCGGCGAGTGAAATGTATAAAGAAGGCTGCATCCAAATTCAAAATAACACCATGTTCCTTCCCTTTGTTTAGTGTCCTTGCTTCAGGCAGAATGTTCCTGAATGTCCCTAAATGTTTTGATAAATTAATGAGAAAGTGCACTTTTATTTATTCATTAAAAAAAAAAAAAAATTCATTCACTTTTCTATGTGACAAATTGTTGTTGTGTTCGTGTTGGGTTTAGGAAATAAAAAGACATCGTGGTTAGCCGCTTTTGGGCTAATTATCGGGAAATAACAGGAAAAAAAAGAAGCTGTTTATAGATACAGTAGGAGTGGGATGATTCAGTTAATTGCAGTTTTTGTGATGTGGAATTTGGGATTGAGCTTTAATTGCAAAACATCTATCATCCATAACTTCCATAAGTGGGATAAAAAAAAAGTTTTATTCAAACTAACATCTCAAAAAAGGTCCTGAATTTCAACTGACATGAAATTCCAATGTATCCTGGTATTCCAACTTGGTTTTACTGCAAATTGCAAATAAACTAAACCTTGGTTCTTGAATTTGAACAAAAATCAAATTTCAAGAGGATAAGGAAAAAGGTGTGTATTTATGAATTGGGATGCAGCCCGACTCTACAGCAGAAAAACACAGTGGATCATTTCACACGTGGACAAGGCACAAAACAGACGACTGTGCTCTGGGGGAGGTACGAGGCCTCGAAGGCACTAACACAGACCACGATGATCACACGGTCACCACGATGCCGATGGGAAAGGCGCCCCCTACAGTAGAGTGAGAGAACTGGGACGGATTTCTTCTAAGAGAGATGTATATTTGCACTGGTTTGAATAGAGGTTAGGGCTATAGTTTTGGAGACTTCATACACTGCAAAACATACAACATATAAGGTCATTCATGATTGAATTACATTTTTATCATGAATCTTGGTAAGAGCATGTATTGACAGTTTTAGAACAAGATTTGCAGAATGGGTCAAGCAGCTTTCGTCATATTTAAAGCGATCTCAATTTCTGCAAATAAATTGGAAATATTTTTTTTACGAACAAATATATTAAACTGTGTATAATGGGCAAAGGGGAGAACACATAGTGAGTTAAGCCTCAGCTTCTGCCTTGACAATGTTACCCCCACATTAATGCACTATATAAATAATGATTACTTACTCATTGTCGTCTGTCTGTTATTTTAATAGAGGCGTGTTATCTACCAAACTTGAGATTGCGATCTTTCCATTTTCGGCACAGCTCTTGCAATGGCAGTTCTTTCCTCATTCCTAGCGAGAATTTGGTTATCTCTTGAAAAAACCATTACCAAATCTTGTTCTCAGATAAATCCAATCGAGACAAATTTAGCTCAATTGAAGCTATTCGCGACTTAGATGTTGTACTTTTTGCAGTGTAAGTTTAAAACAGATTTTTGGATTTAAATGTGGGAATGGACGGTGAATAGAGACAGCGGAGAAGCAGCACAATAGAAAGGGGACAGTAGGGTTTCCTCTTTGGATGGGACACGCAGCTCTTTGGCCCTCACATCCGCAGCGCATGAGGGACCAGGACGAGGGTGAGGCGAGCACGAGCACCTTTTGCCGCTTCGCCCCCAGAGAACTTGAACGCGAGCGGTTAGGATTGCACTTACAGTTCAAAAACAGAACATGTGACATTTGGCAAAGAGAGAGAAAGAGAGAGAGAGAAAAACAAAACAAAATAACCCCCGTTGTGACCCCGTTTAGTTTCAGCGCGATATGACCGAGCTGATTGAGTTGTAGGACGTGCCGCCGTTGCATGTCGGGGTGTAGCCGCAAGTGGCGCCGACGGCCTCCATGTTGACTTTAAACACGGGGGAAACTTTGAGCAGGAAGTCCGCGGCGTCTCTGCGGCCCAGCTCTCTCAGTCTGGACATGAGCACCCCCACCGTGCTGTCCGGCCGCGCGCTCCACTCCTGCAGTAAGGCCGCGGTCGGGCTCGGCGGGATTGGCGCGTCGTCGTCTGCGCTACCCAGATCGCCGCTCCCGTTGGCCGTACCGTTCGGAGTCCCGTTACCGTGTTTGGCCACCAGCTCCGTCAGCCCCAGGTTCATCGCCAGGAGACACCAGTCCTTCCCCAAAGCGTCCGGCGGGTCCAACATCCGGCAAAGCTTTCTCCTCGCCAACAGCGCCACGTCCGAGATGTGTACGTGAGTCCCCAGCACGCCTTGCTGGTACACTTCCGCGCAACCGAACGTCAAGATGCTGCTGAAGCTCTCGCGGTAGCCTCCCATGGTGTTGGTGAGCGAGGTCTCCCGCTGGACCTGTGCCCGGAGGAAGTCTTTGGGCTGGTAGACCATTATGGGCGTGTGGTGCTCCTTCAGCTGCTGCGGGCTGAGGTAGTACTTGGCGGTGAGGAGGCCGGGTAAGGTGGAGGCCAGGAGGTTCTCGGTGATGCTGCACATGGTGTCCAGCAGGGAGTAGCACTTGGCCCTTTGAGAGTCGGGCCCGCGAACCTGGATGTCGATGCCCTGTCCGTGGTTAACCAGCAGCACCATGGCCTCGGCGCCACCCTGGCTAACGCGCGCACCGTTCAACCATAAGTGTATATCTCCGTCCACCTCTTCAGAACCCTCGTCTTCCGGCTTCTGCTGATGGCTCCACCGGCACAGATTCACCTGCAGTTTGTGGAACAGGCCGCAGGGGAAGGCGGTGAGGTGCTCGGCGGGGACCAGGCGCACCCCCCCGTACAGCAGCGCCTCCTCCTCCTCCTCCTCGGTCCAGGATCGATGCAAGCCGCTGGTCTTGATGAGCGCCGGGATGTCCACCATGGAGGGGTTGGTGGCGTCGCGGGCGCAGATGTCCATGGCGTCTAAGATCTGGAGCAGCTCGTCCACGTCGCTGTCCGGGGCCAGCGTCTGCACCTCGTCCAGCCTGTAGCGCCCCCTGTAGTGGTGGATGGCCTTGGGAGTGTCCACCGACAGCAGCTTGGCCAGGACGTTGCCACACAACCAGCGCGGCTCCAGCAGAACCACGTCCTGCACCGTCTCGCTCTGCATGATGTTGATCTGCAACGACAGAGAAATAGTCGACATGAAGTGAAGGTCAGTTACTTTTCAAAGATAGAGACACATTTATGAAAGCAAGCACCAATTAGACCCACCCCCAGAGCTCCTGATTGGACGCAATTCATTTAAATCCTTCAGAGACAGCAAATTGGTTTAACCCCGTAACCTCGGTAACAAATATGCAACATCAAGAAGTATGATCTTTTTTGGTTTAATGCATTAACTGATGTATGTACCCAAGAACTCAAAGAAGCTAATATGCTACATTGCCAAAAATTGCCCAGATATTTTTTCCCAACAATATTTGTATGTCTGGGTTCTACTGGGATAACTGTTCTCCTCCATTAAATCTTACTGGTGAGGCTTCTGCTAAAGTTTTAAATATGTTTATTATGAAAAATACTTAATAGAGATCAGTGTGCCTTGAGATGGTGTTTGGTGAGCCTTTGGGAATGATCGAATATCACCTCATCAATCAAAATAAAACGATTTTTTTTTTGTTGGGATTTTCTACATATTACACTTTGACGAGAGTGACTTTGCATTGTTAATAAAGGTAAAGGTGTTGTGCCATGTGAAAAAGGTTGGGGGATATAGATAATACTAGAAGGTCATATGGCAAGACATAACATTCAAGGGATCAGATCTTTAAGGTCAAACCTCGGTCACATTAATGTTGTTTGGACTAGTAAAATATCTCTGAGTGTTAAATGTTTTTAAAAACTTACATAGTCATAAAAAGAGCCGTAATCTTCCGTAAACGGAAAAAGACAAACCGAACCTCCGTGCCAATTGTGCAAGTCTAAGATATTCCTTTATTTGTCCGACAGTGGAGACATTTCAGTGTAATCGTTGCACATTACAGCAGAGAAAGAAGGAAATAAGAGCACACATCAAACAGAGTCTATTATTTAAGATAATAGACAATATAATTAAAATAAGATAATAAGATGGTAAAATAGAATAAAATGAAATAAAATAAACTCTGGAGCTAGTTGCACTTGGTTCAGAAGTATTTACAGATGTGAATATTGTACTTTAGCAGCGGAGAATATGAGCAGAATAAACATCAGTAATAATATCAACAGGTAAAGTGACTAGTCTGGCCATAGCCATCCGTAAACTTCGGTCAATTATCATTTCTCTCCATGTACAGAATTAAATAAGCACAATGGTACGGACAGACCAGGCTAATTGTTTAAGTTTGCAAAATGATAGAAAATGGCCGGTTGACAACACCACACCTCTCCCATGCTGTGCAGCTGCAGAGCCAGAGTGCGCAGATACTCCTGGCTGACCAGAGGATTGATGTGCTCCTGAACATCAAAGACAAACTGTTGCCATGACGTCAGCTGGTTTGGTCCACTCATTTTCCTCCACGACGGTAGAGCAGCTAGCAGGCGCTCCGACAGCAGGGTCATGGGACTGCACCTCTGCACACAGGCACCACACAGGTCAGTGAAGAGGAGGGGACAGGGATGAAGAATGTAGAAGAGGTACAAGGCTCGCAATCTCAAGCTTCCTCACTGTTTACCTTCTCCGTTTCAGACTAGAGAAGGTAACAGTTTAGATTGGCTCTCACTGATTAACACCTCAATAAGTGCTAATTTTAGAATGCCCTAACACTTACCAGGGACTGCAGATGGAAACTAGCTAAAATCTGGTGCAGAACATATCGGCTTCTCTGAGCTTAATGTCTATGTACGCTGTCCCTTCAATACAATTAGCCCTAACTAGTTTTATTTATCTAATCTTTAATTCAGACAGACAAAGGGTCCATGAAAAACAAACAAAAGAAAAGAGACAAACAACATGCAAAAATTAAATATAGATCACCTGAATTTGACTGTTCCAGGTTAGTGCTACATGTTAACATTTAAGATAATCTATATAATGTGTCATACTTGGACTTAGTGTCACAGTTTTAATAGGCAGGATAATTCTTTAGCCTAAATATTAAATACAAGCATTATCGAGCACAAACATTCTTAATATACATATCTTATACATACAATTTTTGAAAACATGTGACCTAAGAACTAAATGTTTAAAATGACAGAAGAACTACTGCTACTATATACTGCTGCTACTGCTACCACTACTACTACAGCTGTATACTGCTACTACTACTACTACTACCACTACCACTACAGCTATATACTGCTACTGCTATTGCTACTGCTACTACTACAGCTATATACTGCTACTGCTACCACTACTACTACAGCTATATGCTGCTACTGCTTCTACTACTGCTACTACTGCTACTACCACTACTACTACTACAGCTATATATTGCTACTGCTACTACTACTGCTACTACTACAGCTATATACTGCTACTGCTACCACTACTACTACAACTATATACTGCTACTGCTACTACTGCTACTACTGCTACTACTGCTACTACTCACAGAGATGATGCTTGAGCGCAACTCCTGCAGGTGACTCCTCAACAGTTTGATGTCTTTCGAGTTGGAGGCTCCGGCGTCCATGATGAACAGCTTGTCACTGATCTGCAGGTCGTTGCCGAACCTGAGCACAAAACAGGAAATACACACACGTATAATATACACATAAACATCCACACGGCTGTACAGCGGGTCTTCGCTTCAAGGGTCCGTGTGTCTCTGTATCTCACCTGTTCCTCACTTCCTTCAGCAGCGTTCGCTCTTTGTCATAACTGAAGTCTCCGGAGAAACTTCGAGGGATGTCTGCGAGGTCGGCATGAGTTGCCACGAGCACGACGGCGAGAGGCAGCGGGATCCGACCTCCAAAACCTGATCACAGTTTAGAAGCATTACTGTGGTGGCGTCAAACAGGGAGACAGACAGAACACACAGGGTTCAATACCCGGATTCAGACTCTTAATACGAGAACTCCCAGAGAAGTCAATTTGATTTGCAATTACTCATGTGCCTTTATGGTCTTCTTAACATTTTGACTTTTTCTGTTTCTATATGTAGTTTATTTCTGTCATTATTTGTATGATATTCTCTCTTATTTCTTTAAATGAGTTCTACCTTTAGCTTCATTGATTTTTGGCCATTTTTGTCACTTTCTATGGCCCCTAAAGCCCCTTACACAAGGAACTGTTTCTGGACCGGCCCTGGACTTGTTTTGGACAAGTTCTGGTCCAGGACTTGTTCTGGTATCACTTGTCTTTCCGCTAGAGAAAAGCGAGTGCTGGTTACCATAGCAACACAGTTAACGGTCAGCAGTTAGCATTTGGTAGGGACCAAAGAAGGACCAGAGACAGACCAGAGAGACCAGAGAGGGACCAGAGAGGGACCAGAGAGAGAGACCAGAGAGAGAGACCAGAGAGACAGACCAGAGAGACAGACCAGAGAGACAGACCAGAGAGACAGACCAGAGAGAGAGACCAAAGAGAGACCAGAGAGACAGACCAGAGAGAGAGCCAGAGAGAGACCAGAGAAAGACCAGAGAGAGACCAGAGTGTGTTTTTACTGCAAATGGCAAATAAACCGATTCTGAATCCAATGCTCCACCAGCATTTGTGACGTGTAGATTCTCAATAATTTTAACAATTCTTATACTTGCAATTCAATTTGAAATCTTAATCTAACCTTTAAGTGCATGCATACATATACAGAACGAAGCTATGTCGAGTGGCAGGTCTTCTCACCGATGTTGCTCTGAGGCAGGGTCAGAGCCTTGAGCAGGTTGAGCCAGTAGGTGATGTGGCTGAGCTGGGTCTCGTACGGCTCCTCCAGACTGAACAGCACCAGGTGGATGGACGTCACGTCGTTGGCCGCAAAGTAGTCGTAGGAGCAGTAGTACACAGGGTTTCCAGAGAACTCCCACACGCTGAAGTCCCCCACTCCTGCACGGCACAGACACAGATGGGAAAGATTAGGTCCAAAACTGAGAAATTTGGTAATATATGTATATGGATGTAACTTATGGCCTTTTTGTTTTTTATGCATTTGGATCTGTGTTTTTAAATTGCTCTTGTGACGCACTTTGAATACACAAATTGTGCTGTACAAATATGTTAATCGATGGATTGATTAAAAAGATATTTGGCAATCAAAGAGAAATACACAAGACTGCAAGTATTCAAGACGCTAAAATACTAAATATTCAATGCTTTACAGAAACATATTTTTCCTGCTTAGATTACGGGACAGAAGAGAGTTTTTGTTGACCGCTAATATAGTTTTGTTTGCTTTATTTTTGCTATTACGTTTTATTCATGCATTTTCTTCCATATTTTCACAATGCATTTTGCCTCTAACCGCAGCATTTAATCAACACACGACACAATCCCAACTGGATCCAGCCTTGCCGTTGTTTTCTTCAGTTATTTAGTGCATCATACACTTCTATTGGACCCATTGGATACCTACAACTATACATTTCTTGCACTAGAATATAAAGAATTTTATACTTCTTTATTATGCTAAAGCTAAAGATTTTATACTTGCTTCTTTATTATGCTAACGCTATAGATTTTATATTTGCTTCTTTATTATACTAAAGCTAGGGATTTTATACTTGCTTCTTATTATGCATATATGTTTTATGCATAGATGTTGTGCTGTGTGCTGCTCATTCCTACTGTTCAGTAACTGGTAATGCAAGACTGACATTTCCCCACTGTGGGATGAATAAAGAATCCCTTAATCTCAGGTGGCCTCTTCTCTGGAATAGCAGATGAAGTATAGATTCACCGTGGATGCTGGCGTGCTGGATGTCGATGGCCTTGGTCGCCTGCTCGTCGCCTGCAGAGAGGCCGTTGTGGACGGGGGAAAACACCTCCAGGACGCCTTTGGTCAGACTGGGCTCGAACATCATGCTGCGGCTGCGGACGCTCACGTTCTCACAGCCGGGATACAGGTTGGAGATGCTCACAGAGACTGGACACAAGAGAAACACGGAGAAATGTCTGCGTCAAAAGAGATCATTTGTAATCGTTTACCAGACTCTACAGGACCTAAAACACATGCTAGCACACATGATAGTTTTCAGCATTAAAACATGAATGTGACAAAATAATTTCAAATCTCTCATTAATTGTAATCATCAATGTATCTGTCCGTAAAAAGTAAATAATGCCGTCTTTATGTTTAAGGCTTATTAGGTTATTTTAACGAGACAAAAGTTTAAAGAAGCTAGTACTGCTTGCGGTCAGGTTACCAAACAGTGCTATCTTATTTACTCTCCTTTGTGTTATTAAAAGGACCTTCTAAGCCTTAATTTGTTCGGCCATTTTCTCAATTTAGGAACGTTTAGTCAGTGCATACAATTAATAATACCAGAGTAATGCCTCTTAAACAATCTTCTGATATCCGCCCGTTGCTGCAGATGCATTTCAATGAATACCTTTTATAAAGTTAGTTTATTTACAGCTTCAGCCACAAATATGATGCATTATTCTTGGCCCTTAAACATCATAATGACACTTTTCACGTAATCGTTTCATATTAACGTTTTAATCTTTTATAGTCTTGTCTAGTCTAGTCTTTTATCAATAACGGAAACACACAGAAGAAAATTATGTAAGAAAAAACGAACTAAGCCGATCACTTTCATACAACGCCACAAGGGGGCAGTGTTGAGTTTGAGTTAAGCGCCTCAAACGCCTTTGTTTTCCGCCTACCAATTATAGACTGATTATTGACAGTGATTATAGAAACAATTCTCGTCTATAGTCAAGAGCAGAACATCCCTGTCTTAGTTTAAAGTGCTAAACTTAAAAACACTTGTAGAGCACAGACCTCCTCCAAGATGTGATTCCCTAAAAGAATCCCTGGATCCAGACTGTGATCCGGTCCAAAAAATAATAATTTGCTCGTCCATTTCAAGATTTTCTGAACATTTAATCACATTCAAAATTCAACATTCAAGAGCTTGTTTGCCATTTGCAGTAAAACCATTTTGGAAAAACTGCACAAGACTACCCCAGTGTGCACCAGAGAGTACACACCATAGCTCCATTCCACCATGAGAGTTTGGGTTATGTTTAAAGTATGTCGACAACTAGAGCTGCAACTAACGATTATTTTGTAATCGATTAATCTATCGATTATTTTTACGATTAATCGAGTAATCGCTTGGCTGTGAATTGTGTAGAAAAAAAATATTTTTTCATCACAAAAAGCTAAAGTGGCAACACTCGAGGACGTATTGATGGAGTAAACTTAAAGTAAATGTTTGTAACAGGCTCTTTGTGCTAATTCTGCTATCTGATTGGATGAGACAGACAGATATTCATGAAATTATAAAAACAAAGTCGGTTTTAATCAAAAATACTACATTTTCATGTCATTTTTGCTCTGTTTGAGTCCGTGTGAACCAGAAAACGATTAATCGATTAGTAAAATAGTTGTCGACTATTTCAATAATCGATTAGTCGTCGATTAATCGATTAGTTGTTTCAGCCCTATCAACAACACTAACTCTTAAAAGCAGAAGGAAAATTAACAATAAACATCAGTTGTATGCAGCGCCAACATTCACTGGAAAGTAGTAGTAATGACAGATAAGTACTTTACAGACTGGTGTTCTCTACGGCCTCTCGTCACAGTACTACGACAGAAATATAGTACGCTGTAGATTCTCTAAATATTTGATGTATCATTTTGTTGGTAAAAGTCCTCCTCCCCCTCTTCTTCCTTCCTCCCCCCACTCAGATGATGGTGTGAGTAACTCAATGCGGCGCACGTAACTGTCCATTATCGACTGTCTGAGAGGTAATGGCTCCGACTGCCACAAAACGCAGCGGTAAAGAAAATAGATGTGTCAGAAGGGGGAGGGGGGAGGGAGGGAGGGAGGGAGGTGGGGGGGGGTGACAAACGACAGAGCGGATAAAAGGCAAACTGATTTCACACAACAATGAACACGTCAGAGTTTGTGTCCATGGATTTGCTGCTCATAAACAGAGGAGTGAGGACGATATTCTCCCTTTTCAAAATACATGTTTCTCACCGACAAAACACTTGAAACATTTCCTCTCAGATGACACAGCTCCAAGTGGAATCCCAAGACTTAGTCCGAATCTCAGTCCAAGTCTTTGACTAAGTCTCAGCCCAAGACGAAGTCCAAGTCCAAGTCGTAGTAAGTAATAAATATTTATTTATATAGAGCTTTTTTAGAGACCAAGGTCACCCAAAGTGCTTTACAATGTCAGTCCAAGTCTCAGTCCAAGTCTCAGTCCAAGTCTCTTAACACTAGAGTTCCCAGAATGAATCAGAAACTACTCAAACTCTCCTATTCAAATGAATGGAATCCTGAAAAAATCCCCCAAAAAGTAACTTTTAATAAATTTGGTGGAAATCGAAGTGATTTATAAGATTTATACCTTTAGTCAGCAGAGTGATTCTGCTTCCAACCAAAAGCCGTCCAATTGACTGCTCTGGGAGTTCTAGTGTTAAGGATGTTTTGCTAAATTTTGAGTTATTATCCATAATTGAATTCATTTCTAGGTGCCTTCGTTTTTTGAGAATGCCTTTCTGAAATTAAATGTGAGTATAACAGTGTAGTGGGTCACGTTGACCACTAGATGGAGGTTTTTGACTGTCGAGATTCTTTCTTCATCTATCAGACATACTTATCCATATATATTCTACTAAAAACATGGATGCACACTCTAAAAGATGAAATGCCAGAATATTCTAATGTTTAAGTAAGTAGTAAGTAAGTAATGTTTATTTATATATTTTTTACAGACCAAGATCACCCAAAGCACTTTCCAATGTCTAAGACCCAAAACCAACACAAAGAATGCAGAATGTGGTCTTGAAACGGGGCTGTTACCTGCGGGTTTGGAGCTGAGCGGGGAGCTGGGATGGCGGGTGGAGTTGGTCATCCGTGTCCTCCTCCTCCTGAAGAAGCTGCGCAGGATGCCACACTTCAGGGACTCCAGCAGCGTGCTCTTCCCAGACGCCGAGTGTCCGAACAGCTTCAGCTTGATCCGCGGCTGCACGGTGTGAGTGGGCCGCAGCTGCTGGGTGTACGTCTGTTTGTGGTTGTCCTGAACCAGACGCGAGAAGGATTTAATTACAGCAAAAAAAACAATAAACAATGGCTCAGTTCATATTGTTTTTAAGTTGTTTCAGAGAGTTATGTGTTGTCTAAGAAACTAGACTCAACTGAATCCTATCCTACCCTACCCTACCCTACTCTACTCTACTCTACCCTACTCAACTCTACCCACGCTATCCTACCCTACTCTACCACAAGCTATCAGACCCTACTCAACTCTACCCCACTCTACCCTACTCAACTCTACCCCACCCTACCCTACTCAACTCAAACCCGCCCTATCCTACCCTACTCAACTCTACCCCATGCTATCCTACCCTACTCCACTCTACTCTACCCCACGCTATCCTACCCAACTCTACCACACGCTATCCTACCCAACTCTACCACACGCTATCCTACCCAACTCTACTCTACTCCACTCTACCCCACGCTATCCTACCCTACTCTACTCTACCACACCCTACCCTATTCTTTTGAACTCTACCCCACCCTACCCTACCCTCCTCTACTCTCCTCTGCTCTTCTCTATTCTATTCAATCCTACCCTTCCCTACTCTACCCTACCCTACTCTACTCTTCCCTACCAGGGCCAAGCTACCTCCCTACTAGTACATACATAAATACTAGGAACATGTATTACTAAACTGTAACATTGCCTCCACCAGGAGAAAAGTCTAGAGGCAGCTTTAAAGTCTATTCTCACAAAACCAACATCATGGTCCTTAAATTATCGCAGCATATGTGCCGACGAGTGTTTTCACAGTTGCTGATTTCAAGTTTTCACACGTCGAACTGACTCTCAGCAGGATTTTGGATCGACATGGCCCCAGAGCACAACTTCATCAAAATAACTTCTCCAAATCTCACAGACAAACAGAATCCTGGGATCTTATTATGAAAACGAGGGAAATTTCGACTGAATTGTTATCCTTAGCATCACGAACGACAGAGTTTTAAAGCTGTGTTAACGCTGGGAGGATGTAAAAATAATGGAGCGGCAAATGGTGAAAACACTGCTGCCAACACCTCCGCACAGAAATAAACCAGGTGCAAGCGTCACGTGTGAAAAAGCAAAGACAAGTGAATCATAAGACTGAGCTCAACTACAACCACTTTACTTTTCTGTATTTATCGACAATATTTCAATACAAGAAAGTAACAGTCCTGGATCCACAGCCTGCCCGTGCTTTGAAGCGGATCCCTGTCTCAATGAGGGCCTCCCAGTGGCTTCTTACTTTTTATTCATTTTTGTCGTTCCTTGCCGATACAGGATTCAAGATTAATTTATTATGTCCCGTAGGAAATTTGTCTTGCACTCACAGGCTGCAACATTGAAAATATACAGACATAAGACACTGACAGACAGGACTGGTGCTGTGTGAGTTGGTTGGAAGCTCTGATTGCCACCGCAACACAGTAACAGACATAAACCATCACCGCTCTGCTCGTGGAGGGTCAAGTGACAGTGAAGATTTGGGACATTTAAAGATATCTATGAACATACATGGTCCGTCCCACTTCCTGTGGACCAAAGGGTCTTTTGTGTTATTAATGCATCAGCTGTGTTCAAACGGTTTGATTTTCTGATCTGTTGTCTATGAGGTATTTACAAAGTTGTCAATTCTTCAACGATTACTATAGTGTATAACTTGTATACACTATACATAGTACCAAGGTATTGTATGTCTTTCTTTTTGTATTGTTTTTTATTTCTCTTTTGTGGTCTTGGAACACTATTTGCCTGAAAAAATTAAATAAAATAAATAATAAAAATACTATAAATAAAATAAACAAAATAGATAAAATAGATAAAATAAATAAAATAAACAAAATAAATAAAATAAATATTAGGGCTACAAAAAATTACAATTAATTTAATTGAAACTCTTGAAAGTCCAAAAGGCCAAAGGTTTTCAAATCAACTCACAATATTAGAAGCACAAATACACAAATACTGATAAATCTATTTTATTTCTATGTGTTATTTGACCCATTTCACCCTTTTTCCCACATTTATTTTTTGTCAAATATTTCATGAACTGCAGCGTAGTCTTGTGCCTCTCTTGACTACCACATCTATTTTGAGAACAAATAAACAACAAAATCTACGTTCAATTCCATTTGACTACATTAAAAACCCACATCGAGTGACGTTTTACCTTCTTGAGTTTTCCAAAGAGTGACACTATGAGTTCGTGTTGTTCGTGGCAGGCCAAGTCTTCAGCCGTTTTTCCGTCCTGGAAGAAAAATGACAATATAGAAGTTAAAGAGCATATTCTACAGCAGGCATGTCAAAGTCAAATACATCAGAGGGCCAAAAAAACAAATTTGCTGCGAGCCGAGGGCCGGACTGGTTCAATGTTTATTAACTCATCGCCTGCCAGCCTATTTCAGAACAGGTACTCCCATATTGCCAGCAGTTTCTGATGATTTTTATAGATTTTTCAAGACCCACAGAATATTGTGTACTATGACTATCTGAAATCCGAAACCAGATTCTGAAAGAATAGACTGTCTACTTTCATCAGCAAAAAAGAATTTTGTTTCAAGCTTGTACTCCCCAGTTGAATAGAGGGAAGTTTTACTGAAATCACCAAAAAGCTGAGAAAAAAGAGGCACAACAAGTGCATCTAGCTGTTTTCAAACCATGCAGAGAGCGCTACTGCCACCTGCTGGCTCGATTCAATATGCTCTCAAGCTTATCCCCAAACAGGGAACATGAAAATAGCGGAATACGCAATTGACGTTATAGTGCGTCAATGGCAGGCAACGGGCCATGTAAAAATAATTCCTTGACTTTGACACATGTGTTCTACAGTATATGACTGGAAGAAATCTCATGCATTTCTGTTGTCCCTTAAACATGATAATAATAAGTTCATGTTTTAGAATGTTAAATACTCATAAAACGGCATCATAAAACTTTTGTGTGAAAACAGTGTACATTTTTGCATATTTTAGCTTGTAGTGACTAACCTACAAAACAACCTACAAAACAGCTGATCCTGGAGCAGTGGAGACAAAACCCTGAACTTGCCTTGCAAAAATTGGAGGCAATACTTTTGTTTTTAAAGGCTAATCTGAACATGTGTATTGCATTCATTGCGTATCAGCTTTAAGATTGTAACATTTAGACAGAAGGAGCAGGGGGATGGTGTTTGTGCCAGAAGTTCCAGATATTAGCGTGGAAGGATCTAAAAACAACTCAAGGTTAGTTTCCAATGAGGGAACACTGTTGTAGCATGATATTATAATTGTACTTGTGTCCTTCCTTCTGTCTCTACGTCTTTTGTGACCCTGTTTTTGCTGTAAATAATAAAAGAAGCTAAAAAAAAGGAGAATTTTTCATACTACGTCCCCTTTAACTGCATTGTTGGAGATATACTGTTGCTGGATCGATGAAGCTCGTCTAAATTAAACCCCTTTAATCGTCTTCTACTTGTGTGAAAAACAAACAGTTCAATTCGACATCGAGCTGCTACAAAAACAGCCTCTGACCCTGGTCCAGACGATGAATTATACATTCTGCTATGCGCCTGCAGATTAAATATGCACAACACATCAGCTGTCATACAATATTAACACAGGGAGAAGCCGCAGACAACTGAAACCAGCGAGGGTCAGAGATGGATTTGGAGAAAGATATATCTAGATACTGAACAATACGAGTTAGCAAAAAGAAAGAAAATACCAATTATACAAGATTAAAGAAGAATGTTATGCTTTTGTCAGGTATGTGTTTATAATCTGTGACCGCCAGGGGGCACTAGTAAACACTTTTAACACAAATATTGGTTTAGAACAGTGTATTAAACCTGAGAATCTATAAAACTACAGCAATTGTAACTTTGAAATAAAATCCATATGACATGTTTGTGTTATATTGTAGTGAAGATAACATTATTACTAATAAAAAGAAAGGCAGCATAGGAATTAATCAGACCACAAGACTTGGGGAAAGCAAACACTGTAATTTTTTATTTCAAGCGCAGTTTGATTTTGTGTCATAAAATCAAGTAATTTTTGCCCATTGGCTAAACGTGTTATAATCAATATTCTTTTGAACCAAATCAAGGAAGTGTTGACTTTGTCCTCCCCGTCATAATTCTCAGCAGAATTTCTTCACTAAACTAAAGAAGCATCACACACAGGAAAGCGTTGAGTAACTTACATTTGTGAGCGCTTCGGTGTTGGCTCCAGCGAGGCAGAGATGTCGCACCACCTCCAGACCGCCGTTATTCGAGGCTAAGTGCAGAGGAGTCCTCCCAGACTGTAAAAGGAACACACATGTTCACTGTGGGGCTGTTGGAGACCACAGAAAGGCCTGCTCCACTAAAGTCGATTGATTATTAATTTAAAAAAGTGCGTGACAAAAGAGTTCATGACTTATAAATGTGAAATAAAGAATCTCCATTTCTCTGCTCGCTGCATTTCACATGGGAGAAGTTTTGGGAGAACTAACTTTGTTGGGTAGGTCCAGGTTGGCCTTGGCGTTGCAAATGGCGATGACGATGGGAAGGTTCCCGTCTTTGCAGGCGACGTGGAGGGGTGTGTTTCCATGGCGATCCTGCTGGTCCACGTTACAGCGGTGTTTGAGGAGACAGTGGACCACCTCCACCTGACACCTCCTCACGGCCAGATGCAGAGCAGTGTGAGCGTCCTACAAACACAGCAGGGTTAGTTCAATTCGTTCAATTAAATTTATTCTTGAACAGCCCTAAATCACAACAGTAGTTTTCTCTCAGAGGAAGTCACAAAACCGTTGAAGAAATGCAATGATAAAAAACACATCAATAATTTTTCTTAATGAATGTTGAGTGTCCTGGATGAAGCAACTCGCTCCGAATTTTAAAAAGAAAATGCTTTGAATATGTTGATTTTTTGACTGTTTTTGTGTTTTGTTTCCTGGCCTGAAACAACCAGCACTTTTTACTTCTGCCACTTTATAATCTCATACCTCTGGAGTATTAACAGTGCTAATCCAAAAAAACTTATTTTATCGATAACCTGCACTGTTATATGTCTAATGTGTGTATTTATATATTAAAATGTTATTACAATGTTAATGTTTTGACTATTTTATTACTTTTTGTACCATATGCCAGAGCAATAGCTAGTCTATGACTTACTTACAATGACAATAAGAGTATTTTATACACTTCCTCAATTGAGTATCTAGTTTTGCTCCTAGTTTTATTGTGGATTAACACCTGGATTCCCACACTTTTGACAACCCTAACTTGGAAAAGAGAAATAGAAAATGAAAGAGGAGCAGAGGATCTCATCAGAATGTCTTGTCACTTATTATTTTACGATTAAGATGGAGAACAGACCAAAATATGGGAACATTTTGTCAATCTGGCTACACTTCGAATCGTACCGACCTGTCCTTGTGAAGTAACGTTGAAAGAAAGTGCGTGACATACAACGACCCTCACCTTGTCAGTGGCCTCGACGTTGGCCCCGTGCTCAATCAGACACTCCACGATGTCCCTGAAGCCGCGTGCGGAGGCCGTGAGCAGCGCCGTCTCCCCCTCTCGGTTCTTGGCGTCCACATGGCAGCCGGCCTTACACAGCGCCCGGGCCACAGCCGAGTACCCGTGCCACGCAGCGCAGTGCAGAGGCGTCTCCTGCTCCTGAAACGTCAACAAAACAAGACATTTGTACAAAGTGAGGGATCATATTTATATAACATTTATGTTTTTTTTTGTCATTTATTGTATTTGTGACATTGATGAATATATATGGACCCCAGGAGGAATAGCCTCAGTACATTACAGTAGTTAATGGGGATCTGAATAAAAACAACTCAACATTGATCCACCCACGCTAATATCAACGACTTCTTCATGTCATTCTAAACCAATTAAATTCACTTAATTTTGTTATAGTTTTTGTACGGATTGATTCTCTGATCTGTGTTGGCGAGTAGATGGCTTGTAAAGTGCTCCAGGATAACTACTGTTGTGCTTTAGGGCTATACAATAATAAATTGAATTGAATTGTACAGAGGTAAATCATAACAGCAGTCGTCTGTTTGATTCCCTGATCTGCTTTTGTGGAATCGACAACTTAAAGTCCTCAGTTTGAAAACAGGAAATGTAATAATAACAAACAAAGAGAGCGGGGAGACCAAGGTACATAAATGTCACACATCTGTCTTTAAAAAACAAAAAGTAAATTTGTTTTGGCATTTCTCTAGTGAAATTATGCTCTTTACAATTGTGTGTGTGTTTGCAGCTGGTAATTTTCAAATTTGGGATTTAAAAAAAACTAAACGAATGTAACTTCTCCCTCTTGTGGTAGAATAGAGAGTTACAGGCAGAACGCATTTTTGTACTCTTCATACTTGTTTCACAATATATTTCCTACTCAAGATATTATTTCATTTTAAAAAACAGGAACATACTTTTTAAAAAGATAAAAGTCTCTATCATTGGTCATTAAAATGATAAAGCACTTCATTAAGTAATTTCCCTTGATGATGAAGTTTGTAGGTGCAGTTCTTACCCGGTCGCAGAGGTCTGGGTTGGCCTTGATGCTGCAGAGGTAGCTCACCACGTCCACATTTCCGTACCGCGCAGCGACATGGAGAGCCGCCTCCCCAGACTGTCAAAGAAAGAATCATTAACAAAACAGATACGTAAAGTGTTTTTTATTTTATTTAAAGATGATGTTGGTATGACAGTCATGATTACCTCATACACATTAACTCATTGACTGCCAGCCCATTTCAAAACAGGTACTCCCATATTGCCAGCCGTTTCTGGTGGTTTTTACTGATTTTTCAAGACCCACAGAATATTGTGTACTTTGACTATCTGAAATCTAAAACTAGATTCTGAAAGAATGGGCTGTCTACTTTCACCAGCAAAAAGAATTTTGTTTCTATCTTGTTTAGTTCTTCTGTAATCCCCAGTTGAGTAGAGGGAAGTTTTATTGAAATCACCAGAAAGCTGAGAAAAAAGGGCCACAAACAGTGCATCTAGCTGTGTTCAAACCATTCATAGCGCAATGCTGCCATCTGCTGGCTCCATAAAGTATTGCCTCAAGCCAATCTCCACATATTAGATTCAATGGACAGCTGGGAACGTAAAAATAGCGGGAAACGCAATTGACGTGTTAACACGTCATTGGCAGACAACGTTACTATTTAGTTTGACGTGTTAACACGTCAATGGCAGTCAATGAGTTAATAGTTTTTAATAGTAGAAATGAAAGATTCACTGCACAATGTTAAAGATCTTCAAACGCTTGATTGAAGATTTTTTATCTTTTCCCACCATTTTTTTAGTTAGGCCAGAGTGTTGCATATTTTGACAGCTATATAAATGATGAACCAGCTGAGAATTCATATTTGGAATGAGAAAATCTTGGTTCTTACAAGTCTCTACATGGCCTCGCACCAAAGTACATCTGTGACATGTTAGTGCCATATGAGTCAGCCACTAAACATGATGCCCATGGCCTGAAATCTGGAAAAATCTTCCTGAAGGAGTGAGACAGGCCGATACGCTTCTCTTTTAGGGACAATGTTCTGCAAATGAGCTGTTAGTTGTATGGCCTATGAACATGGCATCGGTTACTTGAAACAATGCTTTTTGTTCTATCCCTTTCAAATAAACATATAATAAAGATAATAATACCCTGTCTATATTTAAGTCCAGGCTGAAATCAGTTTCCAAAGTTGCCGTCTTTGTTTTCTAAGAGCTTAAATAATTGCAGTCTTTGCGTTTTGCTGATTGCGACCACAAAAAATGTGATTTTGATTTGACTCAGATTAACCATGCAGCCTCCCGCAAACCAATCCATCAAACTACATGTCGAATTCTCTCATGCAACCCTAGTATCACATCGGTGGATCCTGTGAACAGAAATCCTCTTGCATTCAAACACAATTCAATCAATTCAATTCAACTTTATTACAGACTCTAGACAGATCAGTAAAAGTAAAAGAACCGGAGCAGTGGCCTTCACCTTGTCCTGCACGTTCAGAGGACACTTCTTTTCGTGCAGGAACCTCAGCGTGTCCACGTGTCCGTGTCTCGCTGCGTAGTAGATAGCGTTGGCTCCGCTCTGAAATAAACACAGTGGCTTTATCTCTGACCTTAAGAACACAACACAATAACATCCATCCATAACGCACATGTTTATCCCTAATGTTAGTTTTCAGATACGAGAAAGTGCAGACGTCAAACTCCCAGAGAGAGGAAAGAACAGTTTACCCTAATGAGTGTATTATACTATCGTTCTCATGGTTCCCTGTATCTTCCCTAGTTCTACTTCCTGTTGTGAGGTGACCGGTGTGGTCTGGTCTCTCTCTGGTCTCTCTCTGGTCTCTCTCTGGTCTCTCTCTGGTCTCTCTCTGGTCTCTCTCTGGTCTCTCTCTGGTCTCTCTCTCTATAAATTAAACCAGAAACTTCATAGAAACATAAAATAATGTGTTTAAGTTATGCAATGTCTTTGGCTAAAGTAGGGCTATATTTATCAAGGGTTTGAGTGTGTGCAAAAGTAATTTATTGCCCAAAACTCATCACTAAATTTGCACTGTATTTTTGTTTATTTATTCATTTCAGGCATTTCACACTGGGCGTAAGTCACCTCTTGTCCATCATAGTTTCCAAAAAAAAAAATATATATATATATATTGTTAACATGCATAAAAGGGAAAAAAAATCAAATCAATAAACCACAATAGTTGCCTGAAAGGGTGTAGGAAGAAGAAAATGCATTTAATCCTACCCCTATATCATATGTAACATAGGGTTATCAACAACTTTTGACTAATTTCATATAAAGCTCTGCACTATATTATCACAGAAACAGTTTGAGTATTCGCACGTGGATTGGTAAATGCACCCCACACTGTTTACATGCTGTGCTAAATTAAATCAATTGAAGAAACAAAAAACATTGTCAAGCAGATGCAAATATGTGTAATTCTCACTGAAACACCACCGTTACCTTATCATTGGCTTTGATTTCAGCCCCCTTCCTCATCAACACCTCGATGATCTGAATATTTCCACCGCCGGCTGCGATCAGGAGCGGAGGCGTGCCGTGCTGAAAATACAGAACAAAACGTAGATAGTTTTGTGGAAACTGCAAAATGGAATGTACAAAGTTCCAGTTAAAGGAGCAGTATGTAAAAATCTGGCCAAAAGTGGTGCTGCAACCTCTCCCACTCTCCCTGACTCAGGTTGCCAGATATGCAGACGAATCCAGCTGGGAACATAATATCTGAATGGAGAGGTTTGTCAGATTCAGTTCTGCGTGCTGATTGGACGGACGCGGAACCAGGAAACTGTCAGGTTTTATTGGGGGAAGGTTTATTTATTGCCCGTCTTTCAAGTTTGAGCTTCTTGTGTAGTTACTTTTATACGTATACGTTTTGGAACTAATTATTACTTTTATTAAACATGGGTTATGGACATTTACTGTGGCGATAGTAGCTCAGTTGGTAGAGCATTGGCCTTTGAGCCTGAAGGTCGTGGGGTCGAGCCCACGAGGGGACCTTCTCCACCGACTCCCACTGATGTCTGCTGTTGTTGTGTCCTTGGCAAGACACTTAAATGGTTGGTGGTTGTCGGAGGGGCTGATGGCAAATACTGGTTGCCTCGCTTCTGTCAGTGTGCCCCAGGGCAGCTGTGGCTATAGTAGTAGTTTATCACCACCGTGTATGGAGTGAATGAATAATGTAAAGCGCCTTCGAGTATCCCAAAAAACGCTATATAAAACCAATGCATTATTATTATTATTATTTTTATTACTATTTATTTTGTTAATTTGGATTGAAAATGATCTGTGCAAAAGGTTGAGATGGCCGAGTACTAATGCAACTTTTATTATTATCATTATCATCATCATTATCATTATCATCATCATCATTATTATCATTATTATTATTATTATAATTAGTTTTGGGTTCACTGTTGAGAGTTAATGAATTGATGTGGCTGTTTTGTGGAAAATATAATGAAGTATAACACGCCATGGAAGCACATCAGACCGAATGGGAATTTTTCAAAAACGTATATATTTGACACAAAAATGTGATAAAACACTGAGTCTTCAAAGCTGGTCACCTTGTTGGGTTGGTTGACGTCGTAACTGTTGAGCGAGTCCAGCAGGTGTTGCAGACCGGGAACGTTGTCGTCGTTGATGGCGTGGATAATGGCCTTCATCACAAACGAGTCTTCCTCGTCCTAAAAGCACGGGAAAGACAGTTACCGCTTGACCGACGCTGGTGATCTAATCCGGAAAGAAGTAATCCTCCGAATTCTTTTGATCACATGCTTCCACAGATCTCTCAGAACAACGAGATGCAGCCACGGAGTTCACGAGTAATTTCAGAGTCCATCCGCTTAGGTGCAACAGTTTCAGGACTTTCTCTGATTCAAACAATACAATATTCACTTTTAAAGCTGGGGTACTTAGTTTTTTTCCAATAAAAAAATAGTTTGTCCCAAAACAAAGAGTCTTTTAAAATATGTGTAAGCTTAATAGAGTAGGGTAGATCCAAGTAGGACTGGTGGAAACGGGACTTCAGATAAAGGGTAGATACAAAACTGATCACATTATTATTATAATTATAATATCATTATTATTGGGGTTCACTGTTGATAATTAATGATATGAATGTTTTTCTGTAAATGTAACTTTAAAATGAAGTGTAACCTGCCATGAAGGACACAAAGTAATTGTCCTATCCTAAAAGCGTTGTTTATCCTAATCGTAAATGCTTGTCACCTTGTCGGGTTGGTTGACGTGGCAACTGTTGATACGTCAAGAAAGATGAGGTTGTTACAAAACTAAAGATACAAAAAACTGTCTTTAAACAACGACTAGATTTCCCTTTTGAGTCTCGCTTGGTCGCCGACATGTGACCCAGTGACCGTGAACGAGAGGCTGACGACACAGCTGTGACGCGCCGCTACTCTGGAGGACAGGGGTGAGGAGGGGGAGGCCAGTGTGCAGCCAGCCGTGCTCCTCCAGCGACATTCCTCTACATAACTTCCCTGCTGGGTGCTGCGGCTCAGGGAACTCCAGTGTGTAGGAGCACGTAAAACCGAAGTGTTTTCTAGACACAATCTCTCTCACTCAAAATCACAAATGCCAAACTCCTTTTGAGGCGTGTCAAAAGTAACAAAAGTAAGATATTAATAAAGGCTACAACTAGTATTGAAACCAGAAATAATCAATGCTGGAAAAAAATACACAAACTTGACTAAATGTGAGATTCTCTGAGCAGTTTTGGAAGGATTTTGATCTTAGAAATGTTAGTTAGATTGTCTTATAATTGATGTATTTAATTTGTATAATATTTTACTAACCCTAACACCTGAATCTCTCCTACGGGGGATCAATAAAGTATCTATTTATTGATTCTTTGTTTTGTATGTGTATTAAATTAGATTGGATCAGTAGTGGATTAGAAGGGAGGGGTTAGTGAGTGTTTTGGATCTTGTCTGTGTGAATAAGAGCGTTGGTGTGTCTTGGTCTTGTCTATTGTCATTGGTGTTAATGTGTGTATGTGTGTGTCACTGACTGTTGTGTGTTTTGTTGGAGGGTATTGTAGGGCTTTGATTGTTTTTTCTTTTTGCATTGTAACGTGTGTGTGAATGGATTAATATACAGTGCCTTGCGAAAGTATTCGGCCCCCTTGAACCTTTCAACATTTCGCCACATTTCAGGCTTCAAACATAAAGATATAAAATTTTAATTTTTTCTCATGAATCAACAACAAGTGGGACACAATCGTGAAGTGGAACGACATTTATTGGATAATTTTAACCATTTTAACAAATAAAAAACTAAAAAGTGGGGCGTGCAATATTATTTGGCCCCTTTACTTTCAGTGCAGCAAACTCAGTCCAGAAGTTCAGTGAGGATCTTTGAATGATCCAATGTTGTCCTAAATGACTGATGATGATAAATAGAATGCACCTGTGTGTAATCAAGTCTCCGTATAAATGCACCTGCTCTTTGATAGTCTCAGGGTTCTGTTTAAAGCGCAGAGAGAACCATGAAGACAAAGGAACACACCAGGCAGGTCCGAGATACTGTTGTGGAGAAGTTTAAAGCCGGATTTGGATACAAAAAGATTTCCAAAGCTTTAAACATCTCAAGGAGCACTGTGCAAGCAATTATATTGAAATGGAAGAAGTATCAGACCACTGCAAATCTACCAAGACCCGGGCGTCCCTCCAAACTTTCATCTCAAACAAGGAGAAGACTGATCAGAGATGCAGCCAAGAGGCCCATGATCACTCTGGATGAACTGCAGATAACTACAGCTGAGGTGGGGATGGTGTGTTCAGGGTGATGAGCTGTGTTGCTTTTATGCCAAACATATTGTTTTGCATTGTGGCCAAAAAGTTTGATTTTGGTTTCATCTGACCAGAGCACCTTCTTCCACATGTTTGGTGTGTCTCCCAGGTGGCTTGTGGCAAACTTTAAGAGACTTTTTATGGATATCTTTGAGAAATGGCTTTCTTCTTGCCACTCTTCCATAAAGGCCGGATTTGTGCAGTGCACGACTGATTGTTGTCCTATGGACAGACTCTCCCACCTCAGCTGTAGTTATCTGCAGTTCATCCAGAGTGATCATCGGCCTCTTGGCCGCATCTCTGATCAGTCTTCTTCTTGTTTGAGATGAAAGTTTGGAGGGATGGCCGGGTCTTGGTAGATTTGCAGTGGTCTGATACTCCTTCCATTTCAATATAATTGCTTGCACAGTGCTCCTTGAGATGTTTAAAGCTTGGGAAATCGTTTTGTATCCAAATCCGGCTTTAAACTTCTCCACAACAGTATCTCGGACCTGCCTGGTGTGTTCCTTTGTCTTCATGGTTCTCTCTGCGCTTTAAACAGAACCCTGAGACTATCAAAGAGCAGGTGCATTTATACGGAGACTTGATTACACACAGGTGCATTCTATTTATCATCATCAGTCATTTAGGACAACATTGGATCATTCAAAGATCCTCACTGAACTTCTGGACTGAGTTTGCTGCACTGATAGTAAAGGGGCCAAATAATATTGCACGCCCCACTTTTCAGTTTTTTATTTGTTAAAAAAGTTTAAATTATCCAATAAATTTCGTTCTACTTCACGATTGTGTCCCACTTGTTGTTGATTCATGAGAAAAAATTAAAATGTTATATCTTTATGTTTGAAGCCTGAAATGAGGCAAAATGTTGAAAGGTTCAAGGGGGCCGAATACTTTCGCAAGGCACTGTAAGCTTTTTGCTTTGACTGAAACCAAACCATGCACAGGTTTTCTTGTTTTTGCTTATCATACTTTCCTGTGAAAATTTGTATCTCGTGCATGTTTGAAATAAATAAATTAATGAGTGTTGTGGTTTTGAAATCAGTATCAAGTCTTTTTCTTAGAATCCAAATAGAGGTTACAATTTCAGCGCTTCAGGAACACTCCCATTACAGGCCCCTCTACAGGTCATCTTACAAATATACACAAAATATTTAAATATTTATTTGTTTAAGGATTTTGTTGGAGTTTAAGCCATGTTAAAATTGCCTTAAAAGTTGAGTCACAAAATAAATGTATTGTCTAAGAGCCCTGCCCTGTACTTTACATTGTTGGCTGTGTGAGCAAATATTAGACTAGCACTTTCAGATATATCCATTAGTGTCACCATGAGATAATGCAAAGTACTGCCAATATTTGTTCTCATCCATATATTACGTCACCATCAGGTTAAAAATAGTTAGTTTGGTTAAGAATAGGACTAAGGAAAATTTGCTTATCGGGTCTTGGCAGAAGTGGGCTGGATTCATTTATAACTTTATGGAGCAGCGCGTCCCATGTTCAAAGATTTCAGAAATAGAATCAACACCATTTTAAGAAGTTTCACGACAGCATGTGGTGCGTAATCCATTGAAAATCTGGCACCTATTGCTGTATTTTTGTCATTACCAATAGCAACATGTTACGTGTCATGTATGAAGTGTTAGAAAGACTGTAAAATAGTGCATTCACATCAAAAATCCTACAATTTCTGTGACTGACTGACCTGAATAACGATAACAAAGCCACTTAAACCCTTTAACATTCACTTCTTGACAATAGCAATGTACTTTTTTTCTTTTTTGGATATTCTAAGATGTAGGACAACACAAATCATTTGTTTTTAAGCTGAAATTCATTTTAAATTATTGGCCTCTACCAAAAGGTTGAGGTGCAGTTTGATGGTAAAAGTGCCTAAAACAAGTGAGAAGCCCCAAAGAGGTATATTTCACTTCCAAGCTTAAAGTAGATATTTTGATTCAAAAGGTGATCTACCAAATGGTTGTAAAAAACATTAAAGGGTTAAAGGACACAATTTAGCTCATTTCTGTTGAGCATAATCATCAGCAATTGCTCAAACAAAACACAGAATGCCCTTTCTGTTGCCCACCACTGTATTCTTCCCCAACAGTGACGGACGGGAGATGACTGTAAAACCCCCTCATGAAGAAGTCACTCTCAAAAGATGCTGTCAATGATTAAACCGTAGCCAGGCAGCTCTGTTTATCTTTCTATGGGCATGGCATTGACAACAAGAGACTAAAGCGGCACACACAAAGACCCAAATACAGCAACGCAAATACAGCTAACGTTTCCGAGCAGCTGTCACATTCCGACAATGTTTCACCTGCGGGAATGTGGAGCAGATCGATCCCATTATGGCAGGTGCACTCAAGAGAGAAGCCCAGAATACTGGAGATGAAAACCCGAAAGAGTTTGAGACAGTTTCTTACCAGGGTGTCATCGCTGCGGGCCACACTGATGTTACTTCTGGACAAGAACGAGCGAGACAGCCGGTTGCACAGGGAAATGAGTCTCACAGATTGCTGAGGAAAAAGAATATGCATGTATTTTAATGTGTTTTAGGGTAAGACAAGTTGAGATAAACATTATTGATCTCACAATGGAGAAATGTATACAGAATAGCTGCTAATTTGCATGCATACGTGTGTTTAATGTTGTGTCTGTGTAGACTGGGAAGCTAAGGGGGATCATAAAAAGTATGATTCAAAGCCATAAGAATACAGAGTAGAAAACGGACTCTATTCAGCATTGCTCCCAAACTGGTCTGAGCACGATGGCCCCGGCCTTGTGATGCATTCAAAGACGTCTTGTAACTATATTTATTTACTATATTATATATAATGTAAATCTAATCATTGTTTACTTTGATTATTTGATTTCCTCCATGTTCTTAATTTATGCAATTAAAGGCACAATGTTTCCTGCTTTTGCCTCAAATAACCAAAAACAAAACAGTAACATACATGCAGTAATGGATTGTGTACTGCATCGCACTGATCAATCATGAGCCAGTAGCCTGTATGTATGAATATTCCCTGTACTCTTAAATGCATCTGCTGGCCTTGTCTCAGACGTATCCACTTTACATGGTTACAAGCCGGCGTAAAATGTTTAGTTTTTTAACTAAAAAACTATTATCAAACTAATAAGCACTAGTTAAGACGCCAAGGGTGTTAAAAGATGTCTAATTAGCAACAATAAGATCCATGAGGGCTGAATGAATGTGAAAAGCAAGTCTACAAATTAGTGCCATGTTAGAATGGTACAGAATTCTTCATAAAAGCTCTATATTTGTACAGAGAATATGTGAACAAATGTAAGACCACCTACTTTCCACTTTCTTCGTGCTGCAAACTTTTTAAACTTCTCCATGTTGACAGCAGACTCCTTCCTGCTCAGTGCCTGCTGCGTGTCTTTCGGCTTCATAACAGAAAAGGTATTGAGAGTTGGCACAAGAACAAAATAGTGTGAAAAAAATGAATTCCTGAAGGACAATAGTGGTCATTAAGTTCCATTTAAATACTGACCTTAATCCAGGGGTGTAGGAGGCTGTCCTGGATAGTCATTCTTTTTCTATCGACAAAAAAGTGAGCAGCAAATTAATGTTAAGGGCAAATAACCATTTGAAATTAAGCTAAAGAGGAGGTGCAGACTGGAAGACTGGAGAAACTACATGTGCACACTGCTCTCAGTCCTCCCCCTGTCGCTACTCTGCATCATCCATCAGTAAATCAGCAGCATTTAGGCAGCGTCCTGTATAAAGCTTTCATATCATCAAACGCTCGAGGAGATAAGGCTAGCTCCATCAGTAACCTCTTTTAAATCTCTTCTTAAAACCCACTTTTATCTCACAGCCCTTAAAAGCTAGTTTTAAATTTGCAATTTTGTATTTTACTGTTCCACTTTGTCTTTGTTTCTTTTTGATCTGACTGTTCTACGCCGGCTTTGTAAACACTGTATTTTTAATAGTGCTATACTAATAAAGATGTATTATTAACATGCAGAAAGCTTTAAGTCGTGTAGCAACCCTCCTCCTCCCCGACTCATCAGCAGGACCAGCTCCTTAACCCTTCTCTTAGCCGCCACCACCAGGGTCTAGGTCCCAGAGGATTTCATTGTTTAATCTATTTCTATTTCCTCTTATGCATTTGCTACAGTGCTATGCCGAGGTCTAAGCAGAAAATCTTATGCAGTAAATGTCATTCTTGCCGTCAAAACTTTCCAACCAATAAATTCTAAATTCTAATAACCCCCATTTGTCTGTATGAGTCTCTCCCAATTGAAATACTTTACCATTGTTACTTTGTATGTGCTTTGTGTATGGCATTTCTTGACGTCAGAATCTACAGTTATTCAAAGACATGATGAGGACAATACATTACATACTTTGGGTCTTTAGTGAGGAGTCTTGTAATGAAGTCTTTGGCCAACAAGCTGGTGCTGCTGAAGAACTCTTCTTCAAACGTGTAATCCACTGCAGAGACATTGGCCAGAGTCTCCTGTTTATTGTCGCCTAGAAATGGTGACGCTCCGCTCAGTCTGAAAACACAACAATTATGAAAAGTTGTAAAGGTTAGGGCTGTAACAAATTAATCGATTAATCGCATCGAATGGTGTGTTGGACCTGACATAGTTAAAGAGGCTGAGAAGAGGTGATGATTCTACAATGACTGCAGAATGAAATCACTGTAGCATAATATTTCCTGTAGCACTCAAGATCCCATGGAATAAAATGTGTGTTAAGAATGAAAATAGATATTATTATCAATATAAAGATTAGTATTATTGGCGTTTTAGATAACCAAGAAAGTCCCATTGAGACTTCAAAATCTATCTCTTTTCCAGTAGAGTCCAAGCCCCCAGAGAGGGGAGCTTTTGTCCATGTTTTTAGTGATAGGGAAACCGGAGCACACAGAGGAAACCTACGCCGACACTGGGAGAGCATGCACATAAAAAGGCCCTGTCTGGAGATGGAATTGAACCAAGGGCCTTCTAGCTGAGAAGCGAGAGTACAAACCACTCATAAAGACAATATCGTAATAAAGAAAAAATAATGAAGTTTGTTTTGTTCTCCAGGGGCATCACTTTGAATATTCACTGACCTTTCGGGATCTAAACAACTAAGCGATTAATAAACATTATAAATCGTCCAATTAATTGATTATCAAAATAATTGTTAATTGCAGTTATAAATAATATAGGCCAAAGAACTGGTTGAAACTTTAAAAAGTAGCAGGTAGAAATATGTAGTTATTTTTGATTCTGCACAGAGACACATAACCTGCAGATGTGAAAACTATAGCGGTGACTCATGCGCTCAAGCTGCTAAAGCGAGAACCAAGTATCTCTCTATAAAGCAGAGCACACCTCACCTCGCTCAGAATATATGTGATAATAAGATGATAAGTGTGTGTTAAAAGGCAACCACCGGTCTCAGTTACACTCAAGGTGCTCTGAGCGGGTGCTGTCAGGCCCAGACGCTGAGCAGGGCAGCTGGGAGAGACACGGAGGTGCTCCTGGTTCAACTCAAGAGAAGTTTGAGTGGATTTGAGAGGTGCACAGGTATATTTAGGTTAGTCTGCTTCTTGGTTATTATCTATGAACCTCGCAGATCAATACTAAGCTTTGTAATCTAGTGTTTTTCAACTAGTGTGCCGTGGGATGTTTCTTGATGTGCCTGTCACCCAACATTTTGACACTTTGTAATATAATAGCATCACTGTACTTGGAGTATTATCCGGTTGGTGGCGGGGGATGGGGGGTGGACTGTAGAGGGAAGGAGGGAGGGAAGAGGAGGGGATTATGAAAAAAAAGGAGAATCACATTTTTGTACATTCTGTAAATTGTTTAAATTACCTGCTGTTCTTAATAAAACATTTATTATAAAAAATAATAACATGAAACACTTTTTTGTGCTAGTTTGATTCTCTATATAAAACACTTTGATGAGAAGGACTTTCTATTGTTAATCATGGCTTTCCTTTTTGCATCAGTTTCAGCTGTTGTGCACCATGTGATTGTTTTCACTGATAAAGGTTTGCCACGGACCAAAGAGGTTGGGGAACACTGATCTAGGTTCTGTTCAGTATTGGGATATTTTGGCACACAATTAAACCGATACATTAGAGAAAAGTATGTTTAATTGAGTAATTATCTGTTTTGCTGTCGTGTTTTCCCCGAGTTTACTTTGGTAATTGACATTTGGTGCTTGTTGAGGCGTTTTGTTTTTGTGCGTTCATTCAACAGCAAGTTGAAATGATAATAATTTTTCACTGCCCTCCTACGTTTTTGCCCTTCAGTTAACGCGCAGTCTTATTTTTCTCAATTATTGTAATGCCTTTGGATAATATGAGGCACATGAATTACAATACATCACAGAATCGAATCGCAATACATCAATCCTATTCAGTCTATAGCACATTTTATTAAAAAAAGGCTTCAAAGTTCTGCACAGAGATAAAGGTAACACATTAAAATACACAGGTTTTCCAGCTTTGTATGTTTAAAAAAAAATAGAATAAGTAAAACATTATGAACTAAGGCATTTGTGGCCCAAATATCGCAATACTATCAAATCCTCCCATTTTTGTCAATTCCCACCCGTTTGTAATCTCCATATTTATATAAAACAACAGCAACAGAAATAGGCAAACTAGTCCATGGACCGCATTTTTGAGATTGTGAAGCACCTTGTAGATGTAGGTTGATATTAGACACGGAGCAGTCTATTTTCTGCAGCGCTGTGACTGCGAGTGTGGGAGGCAGCGTGAACACAGGCTGCTGTTTGTGCAGAATGATAGAAAAGATCGGTATCTGTCCATCTCCAGACAATGATGATGAAGTGTTACGGTGTTGTCCCTTGTTTGCATTTAGTATCTGTGTGTGTGTGTGTGTGTGTGTACATGCAATCAGATTTAATTTGAGGACAACGATATTCAAAATGAGTGAACGATGCTGGAATTCCAACCCTTTTTTCTCCCACTTTCTGGATGGCTGATCATAGCCACCGTGTCCAAATAGCTAGATCGAAAGGGATTAGAGTCGCTATATGTGTTTAAGCAACTAACTAGTCACGGCACCTTGACAAATGACACTGAAGTGGGCTGAGCTTAGGTTTCAGGAAGTACAATTATCCATTCAAACTGTCCGTAACAGTTTCAAAAAAATAAATTATGAGTTTGAAGACACGACAGAGGCTAACTAGCTACATGCTAACTATTCTTTACAGTTGGGAGGGTATCATTTTGCTGATATTTTAAAAAAACATTATCTATTGAGGGTATATACAATGCCTTGCGAAAGTATTCGGCCCCCTTGAACCTTTCAACATTTCGCCACATTTCAGCCTTCAAACATAAAGATATAAAATTTTAATTTTTTGTCATGAATCAACAACAAGTGGGACACAATCGTGAAGTGGAAGGACATTTATTGGATAATTTAAACTTTTTTAACAAATAAAAAACTGAAAAGTGGGGCGTGCAATATAGAGCTGCAACTAACGATTATTTTGTAATCAATTAATCTATCGATTATTTTTACGATTAATCGAGTAATCGTTTGGCTGTGAATTGTGTAGAAAAAATTTATTTTTTCATCACAAAAAGCTAAAGTGGCAACACTCGAGGACGTAATGATGGCGTAAACTTAAAGTAAATGTTTGTAACAGGCTCTTTGTGCTAATTCTGCTATCTGATTGGATGAGACAGACAGATATTCATGAAATTATAAAAACAAAGTCGGTTTTAATCAAAAATACTACATTTTGATGTCATTTTTGCTCTTTTTGAGTCCGTGTGAACCAGAAAACGATTAATCGATTACTAAAATAGTTGTCGACTATTTCAATAATCGATTAGTTGTCGATTAATCGATTAGTTGTTTTAGCCCTAGTGCAATATTATTCGGCCCCTTTACTTTCAGTGCAGCAAACTCAGTCCAGAAGTTCAGTGAGGATCTTTGAATGATCCAATGTTGTCCTAAATGACTGATGATGATAAATAGAATGCACCTGTGTGTAATCAAGTCTCCTTATAAATGCACCTGCTCTTTGATAGTCTCAGGGTTCTGTTTAAAGCGCAGAGAGAACCATGAAGACAAAGGAACACATCAGGCAGGTCCGAGATACTGTTGTGGAGAAGTTTAAAGCCGGTGTTCTGTCGAGTTGGTCTGCCCGTCGAGATCATCTGGCTCAGCTGTTAATGATGTAATGCAAACCTGCGCATGCGCGTCTCACGCATAGACATAGGCTGTGTCTCACGGTAGCCAAAGCAATCCAAGATGGCGGACATGTAGTCCGCGAATTGCTTTAAAAGTTAAATACGAACGAATTAAGACACGAATGTCACTTTTTGAGGCGAGATGGTTCCGCGTTGTGATATGTGGGTTTTTAGAGTAAGAGTTTCGTGTAAAGTTTGTTTTAAGCAGTCCACTGCTCCTGTGAAACTACACTGCTAGTGTGCCCAAATATGACGTGCGCATGCGCAGAAACCCGCCAGAATGGGGAAAAAACTCGATCTAATTAAATATTTTATTAAATATATTGTTAATCATATTGAATACAGTATGATACATGCTTAAAATTGAATGTATTATTTCCATTATCAACCCGACAGACCAGTCACAGGACGCGTCATGGTCCTGACGTATGCAGCGGTCAACTCAGGGACTGCATTCACACAGTAGCAGTGTAGTTTCACAGGAGCAGTGGACTGCTTAAAACAAACTTTACATGAAACTCTTACCCTTAAAACACACATATTACAACGCGGAACCATCAACATCTCGCCTCACATTTCATTAGAAGTGACATTCGTGTCTTAATTCGTTTGTATTTCACTTTTAAAGCAATTCGCGGACTACATGTCCGCCATCATGGCTTGCTTCTGCTGCCGTGAGACGCGCATGCGCAGGTTTGCATTACATCATTAACAGCTGAGCCAGATCATCTCGACGGGCAGACCAACTCGACAGAACACCGGATTTGGATACAAAAAGATTTCCCAAGCTTTAAACATCTCAAGGAGCACTGTGCAAGCAGAGCTGAAGACTGCTGTTCACAAACACTCTCCATCCAACCTCACTGAGCTCGAGCTGTTTTGCAAGGAAGAATGGGAAAGAATTCCAGTCCCTCTGATAGAGACATACCCCAAGCGACTTGCAGCTGTAATTGCAGCAAAAGGTGGCGCTACAAAGTATTAGCGCAAGGGGGCCGAATAATATTGCACGCCCCACTTTTCAGTTTATTTGTTAAAAAAGTTTAAATTATCCAATAAATTTTGTTCCACTTCACGATTGTGTCCCACTTGTTGTTGATTCTTGACAAAAAATTAAATCTTTATATCTTTATGTTTGAAGCCTGAAATGTGGCGAAATGTTGAAAGGTTCAAGGGGGCCGAATACTTTATAACTCGTATTGTGAAGTGTTTTTGTCAGTAACAGACTTGAGGGCTGGCAGCTGGTACTTACAGGATGTAGGTTATCACACCAACGCTCCTGTTATGGCACAGACAGAGACGTGTCACACAACAGCACAGCATCTGTTCTCTCCAAGTGTCCTCATCTATATTTACTCACCACATGTCCGCCTCCAGGCCCAGAGGTTCATAGTTAACCACTTCTGGAGCTGGAAAGACACAGACAAGTCAAAGGGAGAAGCGTCAGTATGTTTGTTTAATACGTAAGTTTTAAAATTCAAATTCAGTTCAGATTGATTTTATTTTCCATTTGCAGAAAAAACAATGGAATAAAGTTAATCTCTGAGTAAACTAGTATTATGTTTGTCATGAAAACTGTCTTATATTCCCGAAAACAAAAAGTTATTCAATGCATTTTAAAGCCGGGGTACCTATCTTATTTAATTGGTCCCAAAAGAAAGAGCCCATAACATATATTCTTCATCTGATTATTAGTTATTAGCTCTATTTTTCACTTTTCTGTCTGAAAAAGCTGATTCAGTTTCATACAATTTATTGCTTTTGTCTCCCCTTTTAAACTTACATTTTAACAGTTTTACACCCCATACTTTTATGCTGCTCTGGTTAATATGAAAATGATTGTATGTTTCACTTTTGTAATGCATTTTTATCCATTTTTGAATTGCTCTTGTGAAGCACTTTGAATGGCCTTGTACACCAATTGTGCTATACCATTAAATGATTTATTGATTGAGCTAAAGTTGTGACAGAGGCCAAACACATGCATGTGAGAACTAGTGATCGAAGTTTTGAGAGTACGGAACGAGTCAGATGTATTTTACTACACATTGTATGTTCTAATGCGATAAATAATGACGTAGATAGTTCCAGTTCTGATCCATCACTACTTTTCACGTCTGTCACGTCTTTGGACCAGGTATTTCCAGACAGAAAAGTGAACAAGAGAACCACCCTCTCTCGGCCAATCAGTGCTCAGCCCAAACAGTCAAATAGTGAGTATGCAAAAGACAGCATGATGAAGACAGAATGTTGTTGTCTGATTTGTTCACAACATTTTACGTTTACAAGGCTCTTGCTGTTGGGACAAAAACACGAGTTATTGCTGAAACAAAAGAAGTTAGATACTCCAGCTTTAAAACTCTCAGTGTTTCCCACACATAGACTAATCTGTGGCGCACCGCCACAGATTAGAGACCGCCCGCCACAAATTGCGTTTCGTATTATTATATATATATTTTTTTTGTTACGCTATTTAAAACATGCATCGTCTAGTGCCGCCGCAGCGGTCAATTTGACAGCGGGGAGGGGGGTTTAAAATGTGGCGGCCCTTCGTAACTCTCACTCAAGCTACGCGTCTCTCCCACATACAGAGACCTACACACACACAGCCCCTCCCCTTCGTGCACACCGCGTGTCTCCGTCTCCATCAGCGATCATCGCTGTAAGCAGCTGTGTCTATTAATTTACCGCGGTAAAGTGGCCCGCATCTTTCAGCTCTATGAACATGCGGCCCGCATCGGGGAAAAGACGGTGCGCGTTTTGTTGAGAACTTACGGTAACAGCGGAACGTCCTTTCGGAGTCACCCATTTTTATCGAACAGAAAGCGCGCTGGGGTCAGGGAGACACGTTTTTGTGATTAAAACCTTATAGAGATGCCACCCGGCACACATAGCACCAGCCCCCTACGATTCCTCCGGCAGATTGTGAGTCCTCAGGAGGATAGCCACTCTATTGTTTACATGTATAAAGTACACAATTTGGTCCGCTAGTGCAATTTTCAAGTATTGTAACTATTTACTGGAATAAGGTGTGCGACTAATTTCACTTGACTCATGACCTTATTATTGCCCTCTGCCACTGTACCAAAGACCAGAAACTTTTACTGTAGAAATATTGAGGTAAAGTAGCCATTTTGGTCCAAAATACCTCCAAAATAGTCAAAACATGTCACTTTTGATCTACTGTAACTTTTTACTGTAAAAAGGTGTGCGACTAATTTCACTGGATTCATGACCTCAAGATTGTCCTCTACCACTGTACCAAAGACCAGACACTTTTACTGTAGAAATATTGAGAAATATTGATTTAAAGTAGCCATTTTGGTCAAATAGCCTAAAAATGGTCAAAACATGTCACATTTGATCTACTGTAACTTTTCACTGTAAAAAGGTGTGCAACTGATTTCACGATTCATGACCTCAACATTGCCTTCTACCACTGTACCAAAGACCAGACACTTTTACTGTAGAAATATTGAGAAATATTGAGGTAAAGTAGCCATTTTGGTCCAAAATACCTCCAAAATAGTCAAAACATGTCACTTTTGATCTACTGTAACTTTTTACTGTAAAAAGGTGTGCGACTTAATTTCACTGGATTCACGACCTCATGATTGCCCTCTACCACTGTACCAAAGACCAGAAACTTTTACTGTAGAAATATTGATTTAAAGCAGCCATTTTGGTCCAAAATAGCCTAAAAATTGTCAAAACATGTCACTTTTGATCTGCTGTAACTCATTACTGTAAAAAGGTGTGCGACTAATTTCACTGGATTCATGACCTCAAGATTGTTCCCCCCCCCCGCCGACGACCACCACACATTGCCTTCAAACCTGTGGGAAACACTGACTCTTAACAGGAAATGACATACAGGCATCATAGGAAATTACAAGATGGCATCACTGTCTCCAACACAAAGTAAAGGATCCCAGCCCTGTATAAAGTGAGATTGTGATATTTCTACATTTCTTACAGCTCAATTGCAAAATAAAATCAATCTGTATGAATAAAACAGTATTTGCAAGCCACATGCAAATAAAATGTGTATAATTTGTTTCTGTTGATCTCTGAAATTGGTGGCAATTTGATTCTGCTGCAGAGATGACGCACGCAGTTTGGGAGAAAGCCAGTGATTTGGATGACATAGCAGGCAACAGGCTAAAAATAAAGCCACAAACAAGCCACAGGTTAAGGCAAACACACCGACGAATTCCGGGGTGCCGAAGATGTTTTTAAAGTCGTTGCCAAAGTCGATCTTGTGGGCCAGACCGAAGTCGATGAGTTTGATGCGTGGATGAGGCACGGAGCGGTTCAGCAGCATGATGTTCTCCGGCTGAAAAACACAAAAAATGAGAATATTACTTTAGCTGAGCAGACACCAGGGGACCGTCTGTTCATTTTCTCGTAGGAGACGTGGTTTACTTTTGTCCATTCCCTGTTTATTGGGTGCTACAAATGTCTAGCATATGTGTCTGCTCGTATGCACCAATTCTACCTGATAATGTTGGAGGCAAAACAGAAATTCCGTGAGAAGACAACTAAAAAACGCTGCTAAACAATTATTACTGTTTGTGCAAGTTAGACGTGAGGGAAGAAAGCTGTCCCATTGTCCCATTGTTCTGTGATTGGTCCCCAAATTCATGTAAAAATTTCAGCCCGAGTTTCCAAGCTGTTGTGCAGTTTGAAATGATTTGAGTGCATATAGCAGCACGAGGATTCCAAGACTACATGTAATAGCAGTCTATAGTTTATATTGAATAAGTATGAGTCAAAGAAGAGCATTCTAGGGCATGTGGACATGATCTGATCTTGTTCTAGCTGGCAAAAGTATCTTGTCCACATCCAAAGGTTCACGCCTTTATGGAGATGTCTCTTTAAAATACAGATCTTTGTCAACAACTAAAATAAAAAAATAAAATAAAAACGACTAAAATAATTGCAGTGATTGTGATTTTTATTTGTCTGATTGTGTAAACAAAAAAAAAAAGTCTAACTGTTTAAGACATACAGTATTGCAGGCCTAATACAGCAGCAGGATCTCTAAAAATAGATTGAAACCAATAAAGATAATTTCTAAAATTCTTATTCGGTTTCATTTTGATTTAGATACATGGCATGACCCTGAATATATATGACGGAATCCTCCAAACGTGGTCTTATTACTGCTACTTTTACAGATCCAAAATTGTCCAAAGATGACAGGACATGATTACACTATCAGGAAGCGGCCACGTCAACCATGAAAATAACATGCAAAACCTATGAGGAAGTGAGACAAAGGAAAGGATGAGGGAGACGAGGCCTTCCCAAAGACATAAACACACCTGTTATAGCTGTTTTCCATTTATGCAAGTTAATTCATTATCTATTTTAGGTCCAAAGTGTCAATTCTTCTAAACCAAAAGTACTCCCCTAAAGTCTCTCTGTGGCTGTCCCGTTCTATTTACATCCCTACAGAGAACTAGTGTATTGATCGGAGCTGTTGTCGTCTGCAAACAATTGATTTTCTTCCAAACTGGGAATCAAATTGTTCTAAACTTATCCATCCACTTGTTTAAAGTGCATTATACTTTTAGCAACAATTATGATGGTCATGTTCAGATATAGATATTGTCAATGATTGGCAAGCTATTTCTGGATCCTAAAAGCTGGGCGATATAACTTCTAAGCAATACATGTTGTTATTGAGTAATGTTAGAACTGTAGAATTGTGAATTACAGTATATGTTCTGGAGATAAAAGGCTCTCACTGCAATTTAACACTGGGGTACGTTTACCAAAAAATGTTCACTTTTCTCACTGAAAAAGATAATTTAAAGTAGGGCTGTCAAAATTATTGCGTTAACGCACGTTAATTAATTTTTTTCATTAATCGCGTTAAAAAAATTAACGCATTTGACGCATGCCCATGCGTCCCATAATTCACTCAGAATGCCGCGGACACATGCGTGTGTAAGATGGGGACAGAGCAGGTAGGCCCTCTGGGAATTCAAGTTTTTAAAGAATACACGCGTGACCGCGGGGCACTTGTTGTTTCCTGTGTGAACTCTGCATGATGAGCTGCGGGCGCCACAGCGCTCTGGACAGTCCCCACTTCCAGCGGCCGTGATCACGGCGAAAGGCGCTGCGTAATGGGATCATATCCAAGACCACGCACAGAACTATTACAGAACTATTCTCTAGTGTGCGTACGTGTCTTTGCGTAACCGATGCACACAATATGTACAGCGCAGAAGCTGGACTGCGGAGCCTCAGTCTCCTCCGTGTCTTCTCCCGAAGCGCACTCGCTAAATTAAAGCTGAGGTACCTAATTTTCCTTTTGACCACCAGTTCATGTTAGTTGTGCCAAAAAAAGTAATGGTGTGAGCAAATCAAACAGATTTAACGACATTCTGCATTTCAGACTATTTTGAAATGTCCCTCATCTGTAACAAACAATGGTTTTGGTCTGAGTCTAAACAGAAAGACAGAATGTTAATAATGTTAATGCCATTTTATATGGATTTATTGTTATAACAAACAAATACAGTACATATGTTCACTAAGTTGTCATTTATCTTTCCATTCAAACAAGAATTTACAGAAAAATATGGCATAATTTTGCCAATAGTTTGAAATGCGATTAATTACGATTAATTATTTTTTAAGCTGTAATTAACTCGATTAAAAAAAATTATCGTTTGACAGCCCTAATTTAAAGATGAGACTGAGATAAAAACCAGTGATAGAAAAAAACCTTTTAGAGAGAAAGGAACTAGTTACATGGATTTTATTACATAGCTACATTTTTGAGGTTTTAAAGTTAGATATCCCAACTTTAAGTTCCATTCAATTCATTTTTGTATATCCATAAATATCAACAACAGCCATTTCAGAGGACTCTATAGAAGTTGCCATTTAACCAAATGTAGAATCAGTGGAGAAACAGTTCAAAGACAGGAAATGCAATATTATCAAACACATAAGAGCCATTGGTCCATAGGAAGTGGAATGATTAAATGGTTATAAATGGTTATAAATGTTAATAAATGGTAATACATTTCCTTAAACGTCCCTGTCCTTAGACCCTTCTGCATTGGCAAGGAACAACTCAAAAACCCAGTGGGAAAAAGCTGAGAAACCTTGGGGAGGGCTAACATTGAGAGAGGGATAGACTCTCATGAACTGCAGGCTATAGATCTATTCCTCGGAAGAGAGTGGTTGCCATTCATTGCCAAATAAGCTACTTCGGTGCACATTAAAAAGTGCTTTTGACCGTCTGCTAGCATATCTTTGTACACATTAGTTTAGATCGATAACTCGTAAATGTAGAAAGTACACTTAACGCTATAGTCAGCTGATCTGACACAGACCAATAAGCACTTACACAAGTCACCTGAACCTAATGGCACTGCAATGCACAATGTGGGTATTTTTGTACCTTGAGGTCAAAGTGTGCGATTTGCTTGGAGTGTAGGTACAGGACTCCATCCAGGATCTGCTTGAGGAACTGTGTGGCCTCCTCTTCGCTCAAAGACTCCTTCTCTGCCAGGAAGTCGAAAAGCTCTCCGCCCGCCACTCTGCACAAAAGAGAATTAAAATGTGACAACGCTTTAGATCAGAAGCCGCCGCAAATCCCTTCTTACCGCCGCTGAGCCTGTGTAATCTACTCTGGGTTCAGTTCAGACAAATTACGCCACTATTGTTTGCGACCAGACGGCTGCGCGCACTTTTCATAGAGTTTGGTAAAAAGTAGAAAGTCTCAAACATGAAATTTTCAGTGAAATCTGCAACAGCTGTGGAATAGTTGCATAATTATGCAAGGTTCCCTTCTGATCAGCAGCAGTAGCTATGACTGTCGGTCCCATGACACCAGTGTCCGGTAACTGGATATTATTTACCGTCTATGATAATAACCTCGTTTTGCTTCGTTGTGCTTCCAAGAGGCCGCTGCTATTGTTGGAGCTGAATTGAAACACAGACGCACTCGATGGACAAACTGCACTTTCTATGAGAACCTGAAAGCTGCTTCATTATTCACTCATTCATACGCTGTGGTGGAGATAAAGGCGTTTTCTGGCTGCACATTGTACCGTTAGCCTTAAATACCCAGTCATGGAGGGAGGACTTCAGCACAAAGCAAGTGGGAGAGAGGTGTATGGTCAGATAGTATTTGGCCCTGTGTCTTGAATGAGTGAGAGAGGTTGGAGCCAAAAAAGCTTTTTTGATCCTTCGATGCCGGCTCTTCCTATACTTGTGAAGCAGAATTCACCAAGCGTTGGATTCTTCACCCACTAATAGGGAACGTGAGCTGGGTTTAGACCGTCGTGAGACAGGTTAGTTTTCTACTATCACTACGACTGCCTCTACTACTTCTACATCGAGGGAAGCCGGAGATTATGATCAATCTTTATGGTGCATCTCTAGTTTAAAACAATTACATTGGCTGATTTTGAAGTCTCCGGGGACATATGTGATTGGCCGGGATTTCACATTTAAAAAATAATAAGAAAAATCATTGGATGTTAATTCCCTCACTCATCAAATCTTGTTGTCAAACTTTACCCGATCCAGCTGGTTGTACTTCATTTTAGAGCTCAGCATCTGCATGATTCACTTGTTTTTTTAATTACATTTCAAACTTCTACTGTTGATGATAACTGTATACATTTTGCCATTTCCATTAAGATAGTAAACACAAGTTCACAATAATGTGTTTACTGCAGTGAGACTCTGATATGATGCTGATAATCGCAGTTGGTCGCAGATCAAAGACAAAAATAATAAATGAGCTGAACAGTAAAAATCCTAATAGGCCCCTCCCTTGTCTCTCGCCTCAATAATTGTAGAAAAACTTGGTCAATGTCAGTTCATTTTGTCTTTATTGAGGGACCATGCGAGTCTCAATAATACCAAATTACACCAAACACATCCCCCTGGACTGGTCTGTATTATTTAAGTAATTGTAATAAAGGCGTCAAATATTTGAATTTCTCCGCTCAAAGTCAAACCCAATCCCTAAATCCTAAAAGTGAAATGTCATTGAGGCAGAAGGGCGTTGTACGTGACATTATAAATACTGTATGAGGAAGAGCAAAATAGTGAAGAGGAAGGCTGTAGTAATTACTGAAGCACGTTGTGTTGTGAAACATTGTTACCGACATCACAGTGATATTACAGACGCCTCGGGGGAGAACGGGACAAAGCACACAGCCGCGCCCTTCGCTCTCTGTATCATGTTGTTTACCTCATCAGCTGGACAGGCACAACAGCGGTGAGTGTGTTGAAACCAAATAAGTCTGAAAAACAAGTCTGTTAAAATATGCCCAGGTAACGTGCTCCAACATAATACTGTCGGCACGCAACACTATACGACACTGCGGGGTCTGTCACAATTAATATATGGACGTATTTGACAATTCTTCCACAATTTCCATCAAGTTGTTCTAATAATAATAATAATAATAATACATTGGCTTTTTCAGTGGTGATGATCCAGGACACTCATCATTCATCAACATTTATGGACTTTATTATATTTATAGACATTGGTCTCTGCCCCTTATGGAGCAGATGTGTTTTCTATCATTGCATTTCTTTTATTTGAACTATTTGATTCTCTGATCTGTGTTAGAAGTTCAACGGTTTGTTAAGTCCTCCGAAATACTGTTGTGATTTAGGGCTGTACAATAATACATTGAACTGAGTTTTATATAGCGTTTTTCTTTCACGCCATACACAGTGGTGATTAACAACTACTGTAGCCACAGCTGCCCTGGGGCACACCGACAGAAGCGTGGCAACCAGTCTGTGCCATCGTCCCTCCCACCCAGCAGGAGCACATCAGACTCCACCCATTTCCTCAAGTCTTAAAGTTAAAACTGGACTCACTTGAGGAAATGGTTTTGGAGTCTGGAACCAGTTTGACACCTCTGTTCTTGGCAACGTGTGTGAACAGTTTTGCACTTTACAGCTGCAGCCGCCCTTCTGTGGCTCCTGGAGTTCCCAGAGGTCTCCCATCGCAGTACTAAACAGAATATACACTGCTTAGCTTCAGAGGTCTTTTTTTTCCGAATTCCTTTTGGAAAAGAGCAGCGAAAAAAGCGAGAAATGGTTGAGGGCGATCTGGAGAATCAACGTTCAGAAGAAATCCAGGATTCCGTGATCAACAGAAAGAAAAAAGTACCCAGTCTCCTTTGTAATCACCCACGGCAAAAGTGAATCCTGCGGTGACCTGACCTGGTCTGACCTCAGCTTTCAACACAGGCAGGAACTTCTGTTTCACGGAAAAAAAATGGCCCAACATTTCTAGGAACAGGCCTCCAGCCTTTAACTTTTCTTGCGTGAAGAGTCCCAGGTTTTCTATGAAGTAAGAATAAATGTCTCGCAGATCGGTGCCAACACAGAGGCGAGTCTGACAAATGTTTGTCGTCATCCCAGGTCTCATAAGGGCTTTGAATTTGTTCGGTTCAGTTTCCTATACTTATTTTTAGGTTATCTTTATATCTCTGATCTTCTTGCGTTACAGTGCATAAAAACATTGTGTCCTTTAAAAGTACTTCTCGAATCCATGCTTCAGTGTGTGCCGCTCTGTCTTCTTGCCGCCCAGCGAGTGGCGCATGCGTACGCGGATGTAAACAAAGATCCTGTGACAAGTCCTCAGGCCACGACGTCATGGACTGAGTCGATTTCTGTCTTTGAATCAAAACTGCTGCTGTTTTTGGGAATATTATCTGTCAGACTATACTTTACAACTGCAATATGTTCAATAGGGACTATACAGAGTGCAGATTTCCATTTTTTTTGTCCATGTTTCAGACTCAGTTCACCTGAAATACCATAAACATCACCATTAAGAGGCAAAAGCAACACAAATAAGGTTTTATGCTATTTCTGTACACAAGTAGCCGACTAATACTACATTTTTAGAATCATTTTCCAATTAGTAGATGTTATAAAAAGAATTAATTTTAAACAACAAAAAGGCAGTTTTTGAATAGTTGTGATTGATTATTTTTCTACATTTTAGAAGCATACAGTCATTAAAAACTCTTTGCTGTTTTAAACCCATTAATTTTCTTCACTTTATCTAACGTCAGCGCCTCACACATACCGATTAAAGATAAAATTATAGATTTCAACACACAACTTACTTGAGCTCAGGCTTAAAAGCAAAAAACCACCGCTTACACATATTTCTTTGTTACGATTCGAGAAGATTGATGTTTTTTTCATTTATGACTCAACAGCAATAACAGTTTTGTTATTGTGGAAAATGACAAGCCTCCTTTCAGGGCAGTGAGGCAGGGCTGCGTTTCTTTGTCCCCAACTCCTTTAAGTAATACAAAAAACACCCTGCTTTTCTTTTGACACCAAACCTTAGAGATTAAATATAGTTCTACTTGAGTGGAACTTTCTATATAATTACAGCACAATGGACTGTCAGGTGCAGCGAGGTGACTTGGCTTTGAGTTTCTTGCACTCTTGATGTAATCCTAGCCCTGCGGACGTTCTCATTCATCTCCATCAGCAAACGTTAAGACTTCGGCGCGAGGTGTGTGGCGTCAGAATCTTTGAAACGTCAAATCTGGACACTTGATTTATCGTCCAATTTTGTCCATTATCAGACGGCGTTAGAGTTGCCAGATCAGCCCGTCCACATTTGAACATACACGTCTCAGATTTGGCGGATTTGTTCTGATGAATGGTCCAAATCACAGACCGCAGAGCTGAGGACTAATATTGACGATGGCAGCCACCGCAGCGAGTGATGGAGTGTTGTTAATATGTTTTTATATCAGAGTAAATTACTTCTTACTGTGATATAAAGAACATGTAATTTACTTGCATTTGTTGTTCCCATATGCACCACTGTTTAACCAGGTGCACTCCGACCCGCGGTGCTCTCGGCGCACATACGTGAATTATAAATATCATAAATAATCAAATGTGTATGTAGATAAAAAAGTAAAGTAATCTATATCTATAGACGCATTAGTATTTTCACTTAAAACATGAATAGTATTATTGACTGATTTACTCTCGTTCCAAACATTGATGTCAAGGCTATACTTTCCAATACACAAATTCCAAAAGATTTAGCAGCTTAATTAATATAGAACCACAAAATGGATCAATTTAAAAGAAAATTATTCTCAATACAGTTTGGTTTTATCACTAGTTTTCAATGCATTCATCTTTAGAACACTCAGCCAATCAGCTCTCAGCCCAAAGAGTCAAACAACGACTCGGACGGCTCTTTTATGTACTGTGATTATTTATGGTTTGTTATGTTTTTCTGGTTTTATTAAGCACTTGTGTATGAACTGTACCATACAATTAAACTGATCTTGCCTATTTCTTACACATCAAATCCAATGTCCATCCATCCATCCATTTTCTTCCGCTTTATCCGTTGCCGGGTCGCGGGGGCAGCAGTCTAAGCAGAGACGCCCAGACTTCCCTATCCACACACACTTCCTCCAGCTCGTCCGGGGGGACCCCAAGGCGTTCCCAGGCCAGCTGAGAGACATAGTCCCTCCAGCGTGTCCTGGGTCTTCCCCGGGGCCTCCTCTCGGTGGCCCTAGGGAGGTGTCCAGGAGGCATCCGGAACAGATGCCCGAGCCACCTCAACTGGTTCCTCTCCACGTGGAGAAGCAGCGGCTCTACTCCGAGCTCCTCCCGTGTGACTGAGCTCCTCACCCTATCTCTAAGGGAGCAGCCACTCTGCGGAGGAAGCTCATTTCGACCGCTTGTATCCGCGATCTCGTTCTTTCGGTCATTACCCAAAGCGCATGACCATAGGTGAGGGAGGGAACGAAGATTGACCGGTAAATCGAGAGCTTCGCCTTTCGGCTCAGCTCCCTCTTCACCACAACGGTCCGATACAGCGACCGCATCACTGCGCACGCTGCACCGATCCGCCTGTCAATCTCACGCTCCATCCTTCCCTCACTCGTGAACAAGACCCCGAGATACTTGAACTCCTCCACTTGAGGAAGGGCCTCTCCACCCGCCTGAAGAGGGCAAGGCACCTTTTTCCGGTCGAGCACCATGGCCTCAGATTTGGAGGTGCTGATTTCAAATCCAATGTTTTTCACAAAATGTTACTTTTACACAACTCTCTCTGTTTATCTCCCCAGCATTCAGAGTTTTGATTGTGACAGGATGTACATATTGTAACTTTTGAATACAGGTATGCTGCTGTTCATCTGTTTTTGCAGATGACTTAAACTGCTGATCATTTTATAACGATCAGCAGTTTAAGCCAGAACATTAATTTCATGAGACGAGAAGACCCTTTATCACATTGATTAAACGTTTTAGAATAGGGATGTGTAATATCACGGGGCTGAAGGCTCATTAGAACGAATTCTCAGAAATCTGGCGTGTACTTGTCAGACGTCACACAATGGAGCAACTGCAGCCAGAGCTAAGTCTAAATGAAAAAAAAAAAATGACCTTGTAAATGAGATCTGACCTTTTTTTATTGGTTCAAGACACGTGAGTCAGCAAGTCAAGTTGAAATATAGACGGGAACGCACTCAACCGTTAAACGTAAGATACAAAAGATAGAGAATCTGGTCTGACGGCTTTCAAGGCAAAGAATGACAGATTAGGGTTTCAACATAAAAGGCATTTTTACTTTAAGAGGAAAAAACATGGAACATTCAAAACCCTATGTTGTGCTTTAAGGTAGAAGACTAATATTCTAGCAACATAATTAAATTACACGGTCAATTAAAGCTGGGGTACCTAACTTTTCTGGTCTTTTTAGATCACACTTGCTTCCTTATTATGCTAACGCCAGAGATGTCATACTTGTTTCTTTATTATGCTAAAGATTTTCCATTCATCTTGTGCTGTGTGCTCCTCATTCCTACTGCTCTGTAACTTGTGATGCAACACTGAAATTTCCCCACTGTGGGACGAATAAAGGATCTCTTCATCTTCATGTTGTCAGTCTTAAAAAAGTATGTGTTGTGAACAAATCAGAGCACATAAACTCAATCCAAAAACAGTTAAAAAGTCACCTCTACCTCCAAGCGTACGACTCAGAGTTTCAGCTTTGTACTTATCTTTCCTGCTTTTAGTTTTTTAGTTGTGTGTGTCTGTCTGAATGTATCACACACACATTCGGAATTGTGAAGCGTCTTTGAGTTGTTAAAAAGCACTATATAAAGCTGATGTATTATTATTATTATTACTATCATTATTATCGTTATTATTATTATTATCATTATTATTATTATTATTATTATTATTATTACATAAGGAACCTAATGTACAAGTTTATGTGTATGTGCGAATGTGACGATTTTATTGTTGACGATCAGAGGATACAGCGAGTTTTACCTCCGCATTGTGAAAACTCTGGAATAGTTGCCTCCTCTAAAGAGATTTGGGGACTTTAATTGTTTTCTGTTGTCTGTTTTTAAGTGTGTTGTAATCCAAAACAGAAATTGACAAGACACGAGTCTGAAATAAAGCAATCCATCCATAAAGACGACATAATAGACGACATGGATTTTTCTTACAAGTATGAAAGAATACATGTGACTCACTATTTGACTCTTTGGGCTGAGAGCTGATTGGCTGAGTGAGGGTGGTCCTGTCTTTCTCACTTTTGTCTGAAAAAGCCGATCTAAGGTTGTGACAGAAGCCAAAAATACATCTATGTAGAACTGTCTTTGGCGCGAGGGACGACCGGTAGCTAGATGGATAATATTACACAATTCGGTTATGTGTGGTTTGAAAGTTAGGCTCCCCAGCTTTAAGTGAAGGCGGTTTTGTTTTGCCGCACATGAGAAGTGAACAGCTGACTGCCAAACACGTCTCCATGACAACAGGCTTCAAGTGGAACAGGAGGAGAGTCAAAAACCAGATTCAAACCCATTTTGTTTGTGTATGGATCAAACAATATATGAGTCTTTTCTGTTCATTTTGGCTCCGAAACATCAACATCAGAATATTTACTTTCATGTTTTAGGGCAGGGGTCTCTACCCTTTCTGGATTGGAGAGCTCCTTTAATAAAACAGTAATGGGAGAGAGCTATTCTCCTTTAGCAGTTGTATTTATGAAAAGATTTATGGTTAAAATAGATAAGCGATTACTCAAAAGTGAATCATTCAGGATCATGTGTTAAATTCTTCAATCCTTAGGGGAGCTACCTTAAAGCTGCACTAACTGACTTTCTTTTTGTATTCATTACCATGTAGTCCATGTAGTGCATTGGGATATACGTCCTTTTGAAGAAAAAGTAGCGCAGGTTTGTGCTGGCGTGACATTATATTTTAGATCGAGTTTTGATTAAATAAGGAAGAGAATGTGTTTCGGGTCGCAGATTGTGACCAATCACAGCACACCACTAGCCCCCACTTTCGTAAGAAATCTACAGGTCTCCGTTAGCACAGACAGCTGAGGTAGCACAACAAGCAGCGGTGCTAACCTGAGGCTTCCTCGTCTTCGTCACCGGTTACTGCTTACTCAGCGAAACAGCCATCCAAAAGAAAGTCTCGTTCCTCCGCGCTTCCCGGTTTTATCGTTCTATGGTCACGCCATTCACGTGAAAATCCATATCCATGTATTATCCATATTGGGAGACGCTAGCTCTGTAAACAACAGTGGGTGCGGGGAGGGGAGGAGAAAGAGCGAGGCCAGCGAGTCCGCGGCTTCAAAATCCCAAAGTCAGTTAGTGCAGCTTTAAAGTTAGCGAGCTACTGGTTGCTTCCAAGCCCCAGGTTAGAGCCCCATGTTTTAGGGCAGTGTTCACTTGAGCCCGAAGAGAACCAGAGGACATAGAACTAATTCGGGCGAAAATACCACAAACATGACCAAAATTACCTTTCTATCAAGACATTCCCCAGGGGCATCACTTTAGCTTTGTTTTGGTCAAAAAAATGGAAAGAAATCCCATATTCACTGACCTTTCAGGATCTAAACAATTACTTACAGAAGTATGGACTATGACTGTTTTCCGTACAATATACGTCCTTTTGAAGAAAAAGTAGCGCAGATTTGTACTGGCGTGACATTATATTTTAGATCGAGTTTTGAAGAAACAAGGAAGAGAATGTGTTTCGGGTCTCAGATTGTGACCAATCACAGCGGACCACTAGCCCCCACTTAATAAAAGCCACGGGTCTTGTTAGCACGGACAGCTGAGTTAGCACAACAAGCGGCGGGGCTAACCTGAAGCTTCCTTGTCTTCGTCACCGGTTACTGCTTACACAGCGAAACAGCCCTCCAAAAGAAAGTCCCGTTCCTCCGCACTTCCCGGTTCTATCATTCTATGGTCACGCCATCCACGCTCAAATGTACGATACATGATTCTATCCATATTGGGAGACGCTAGCTCCGTAAACAACAGAGGGTGTGCGGTAGTGGGGGGCGATAGCTTCGTGGGTGCAGAGAGGGGAGGAGAAAGAGCGAGGCCAGCGAAACCGCTGCTTCGAAATCCCAAAGTCAGTTAGTGCAGCTTTAACCGTTAGCTTCCATGTCTCTTATCAGTCTATTTTGACAATAAACTCTGCAATGATTACTCTACCACAATAAATATACAGCTAATAGCCACGTCGCTATATAAGCCACGGGGAGCGAAAAACGAGAAAAACGTAGCGGCTTAAAGTCTGGAAATTATGGTAATTGGGAGAATAATTGTCAAACTAACAGACTATGATAATAATCTTTTAATTTCATCCCAATGTGATCCGGGTATTTCCAAAGCTCACTCACAGTTCCAGAATGAGAATGACCTCGGCCTTGTTCTCGAAGACCTCGTGCAGGGTGATGATGTTGGGATGCTGGAGCTCCTTCAGGATGTCCACCTCGCGCTCGATGTCGTCCCGGGACACTCCTCGCCGGCTGGACTTACTGCGGCGCTTCTTGATGAACTTGGCGGCGTATTCCACTCCGGTGTCTCTGTGCCGACACCTCCTGACCACCGCAAACTGACCGCTGCAGACGGAAGAGAGAAGACAAGATTATATGGACTGTCTTGTTTAAAAAGGACAGCGGTAATTTGGTCAAAAGTTTTACAATCTCGTCAGACCATACAGGAACTTTCGAGCTTCAGATGAATCAAGAGACAAACTAAAATAATAATAATGGGGATATTCTTATTGACAAGAAAAAAATACTAAAGATAGATAGGGCTGCATGATTCTGGAAAAAATCTAAATGTGATATTTCTGAACAACATTGCAATTTTCATTTATTTTTCTCATGTTGTTATATATGAAGTGAATACCTCAAAAACAATTCCCAGATATTTTAGAAAATGTTTATATAGAGAGTTTTACCCAATAGTACAGGTGTTGTTTCCAAGTAGAAATACAAGATTCATTGCAAAAGTGTGAAATATCTATAAAAGCTGAAATATCTATAAATGCTGGAATTACTATAAGTAGATTTTACCCTTTGCCACAAAATTATTATAGTCAGACCTGTGTTCTGAACATTTTAACGGTTTGTATAGATGATTAAAAATATGGAATGATTTGATTGTAATTAATCGGATAGACACATACTTCATTTATACAAAGAAAAATGAAAATGTCTCACAAGTAGCCAATACCAACAACACAGACTAGACTGATATATAAACTCATATATAGCAAACCGTAAAAATAACCTAAAATGCATTAAAGATCAGCCTTCGAGAGTAAAACTACCAAAAATATTTGCAAGTGGGAGTGCACAAAGGGAGATCACGAGTCTTCGCTTTCGACATAATTTAATTGTTGGTAAATCCTCTGATGACTTCACTCTTGACAAGCTCTCAAACTCACCCTGATACCACTGTGTTAATGAACAAATCTCAAAATGGAATCACCTCGTTCAGATGGCACCACAGCAACACAATCTAATATCCCTTATGTCATCAAGGAGTTGTACCGAAACATGATTAGCACATACGACAACAAAAACACATGTTTTCAGAATCCAAGGAGTCAACCATCCACTTCCTTCTGCTTTATCCGTTGCCACAATAATCCAAGCAGCAACTTCCTCAAACGACAGACATAATAATGCACTTTTCAGGAATCAGCAGCCTCCTGCAGCCACAGCCAGAAAGGCCAAACAGCAGCACGGAAAACAAATGCAAAGACAGATTGTGCTTTTGTCTGATATTGAAATAATCTACGACCTCTGAACGAGAGATATGTGAATATGTCTTGATCTAAAGTAGACGCAACAAAAGCAATTCCACTGACTTCCATATTGAATTGATTGTGATTTGAGTATGAGTAGTCTTAATTGAAGATTGTCAAAAAAAATTACATCTTACGTTATCTTGGCTAACACCAGCTAAAACTCGGACTAGCCCAAGTTTCCCAATGAGGCTGAAAACTGTCCATACAATTTCTTGAAGATTAAAAAACTGGCGGATTGTGCATAGGCTGATCCGTCTATCTTATGCAAAAAGATTACTCGAGCATGTACAAATCACACAAAATCACACTAAAAAATAGACTGGTGAGCACTTTATTTTGACAATAAACAAGTGTCCATTGTTTATAGTCCATAAACTCTGCTGTAAAAACTCCACCAAAATAAAACCACACACATTAGCTCCATTGCTATATAAACCGCAGTCTTCGAAAGCACTAGAGAAGAGAAGCGACCTATAGTCTTGGAAATAACGGGATATTGTTTAAAGTGTTCATTGCAAACCCGCTGGTGAAGCCGGTCTCAAACCCTGACATGTGACAAGATAAAGGCTGAGACGTGACAGGCCTGAAACCCAGCAGCACTTGGGACTTGGCTGAGGGCTGCGTACGCCTCCACGGTTTGAGCATCCTCACAATCAAGAAGCACTTAGTGTACCGACGCCCACGGAGCGAGGAAGAGATTCAGGAAAAAGTCGCAATCTCACACCTGTTTTTTAGACTTGCCCAAAGCGATACCACCGTGGTATTTCATTTTTTCATATGATACGCGCAAGTATTATCAGCAGGAAGCAGCTGTAAATATACTCACATTTTCAAATAGCGTTCTAAATGGGGATGCGCAACGTTTTTGTGCATGTGGGAGATTGGAATTTGAGGGAAAAACAGAAATCTCAAGGAAAATGCTTGAGGTAAGTTGTATATCTTGATTTGACGAGCAGATTTACACTTGAATAAGAGAAAGAAATCTGGGCTTGAAACTAATTGGAGTGTTGTGATGTCACATGAATGCAACCAAAGAGTGGTTTTTAGGAAACCAGGAGCCAATTAACACACGCAAAACAAAAATATGTTCTTTGTCAGCATGATTCAATCCTTTTCTCAAAACATGTGAGATGTGATGTGGTGACAATATTCAAAAAACAAATGCATGATGATGTAGAAAAGACTTTCAGATATTAGAAAAATATGGCAGGTTTGGTTTGTAAATCTAATCAGTACCAAAAACTGATATGGGAAAACATTTGACATATTCTTTTTTGAGGTTTCCTTCAAAAGTGGCTGCATTGACAATCGCCCAAAATACTGAAAAAACTATTTTACAACATGGACACAACAAATTAGTGCTGTGCCAAAAATCCTCAGTTTGCAATATTCTAAAATTGAATTAAATGGGCAGCAATGTGTATTAGTAGCATCACAGTTTGCCACAGCCTGTTGTATTTGTTCAGACCCGTTAGGGCAGTTGGAATAAGTTTATTACTTCTACTCACTGCTCACACGGGTGAAAGTTTGTCAGAAAGAAAAAATATTGTGTGCGTGTCATAGCGGTTTGTATAATTTTTTTGATAAAAGGGACAAAAATCAGTAAATAAGGGGCCAAGTTTATTAAACAGTTATTTTTGTGCACATTTATCTTGATTTGGCTATATTTTCATGAACTGAATGACAAGCAAATTCTCACTTAAATAAGAATAAGAAAGCTTGAAACTAATGATAACTATAGAGTGCACTCGGAGCGCACATACCCCGCCAACACCACGGTTTGGCCTTGAATTATAACAGGGTGTTTCTGCCATCACATCTCATCTTCATCAGCTCAATCTGTAGTTTCTGAGCTCCTACCATCTTCTTTTTGACATTTGCGGGCATCTCTTTGAATGACTGATTTTCATTATAGATCATTTTAAAAACATAATATGCTAGTTTTAGAAAATTCATCATTCATGGTTTTCCCTTTGAATAGACTTGAGTGATTATTCTAATAGGACTAAGTGTTAGAATCACTCAAGTCTAGATCCAAGATAATTTGCTGTCAGCCGTATAATTGTAGTTTTTGCGATTTGCCAACTGTGGCCCTAAAAACTTCAAAGCTACAGGATGGAGACGTCATATTATTGTGTGTCAAGCCCTCAGCAGACATTGTTTTGACACAGCTTTACTTTACCTCTTCTTTTTTCTTTGTGCAGAAGTTGCATTAGTAGTACGGCTGGTAGTGCAGAGGCTTTCTCATGTTAATGACACTCGACCCCCTCGTCTGACCGCTTTTAACCTCTGGAGGTTCCCACGTCTGCGGCTGCGGTCGCTACGGGCCGAGAAGTGCTTTTAATCTGTCATTTTGTCCATCCCTAATCTGACCAAAGACTGACACAAGAGACAAGTGAATGGTTTGAATTCATTTTCAGGCTCAAAACAATATTGAGTTATTGAGTTATTTCTACATGATCTGGTGCTATCTGTGTGTTGTGTTGCCTTTGTGTGTCTTATGTTATTACGATCTTGGGAATCGCAAAGTCCATTATATTGTGCACTAAAGTGGTGGGGAAAAAATAATGGAAAATGAATAAATAAAAATCAATAACGTTAGCTTTTTACCATCTACAAACAGAATTGTTGTCCTTTTTTTGACTTGTGAATGTTATTGGGGCCCCTACATATGAGCCAAGTTGTGCTTCTTGGGAGTCCCTTCACAAACCTACATGTCTAAGTGTAAAAGATGTGGATTTAACTAATGTTTGTGAACAAATAAATAAATAATAAATGGAATCAAAGGCAAAGACTCTAGTGCAGTGTTTTTCAACCACTGTGCCGCGGCACACTAGTGTGCCGTATGATATTGTCTGGTGTGCCGTGAGAAATTCGTCTACTTTGTCTAAAAATAACTGCATTCGCTGTTGACGAGCGGTGACTTGTTTTGAACTGTGGAGTAACCATGTAATACTTTTTCAAATCAGTAGATGGCAGCAGATAGCTAAGTACTTTGAAACTGAAAAATTGGATGCGACCACTGGCTACAGGTCAGCATTGTGGCGAGAAAGGTAAAATTGGATGCGACCAACAAATGTGGGAGGGAGCGAGACAAGAGCTTTGTGGCGAGTGAGAAGTGAAAGTGATAGAGACGTTTTTGAAAATGAATTATGCCGTTTCTGAACAGGATTAACATCCTCCGCTCTGCCCCGGGGCAGCTGTGGCCGCGTTGTAGTGGTTTAACTATGAAATGTACAATTTTTGTACAACAGCTCTCGCGAACGCACTTCTGAACTGGGTACCGAGCGCAAACCATAGTCGAGTGGACAGAACCACAGACATGCGGACCGGACAGAACCATGGACTCGCGCTCAGGACCTCCCGTGTCCCTCATCCAAAACTCCTGAATTTAAAGCTCGGATACCTAAATTTTTCCCATGCACTAACAATGCATGTTCTTTGTGTGAGTTATTATTTGACTATTTGGGTAGAGAGTGGATTTTCTTAGTTTTTTTCCACACAGTTAGTGCCACTTTATTCCCAAACTCTTGTTAATTGTATCGAGAAATATTAAATAAAGCTTAATGTCAAGGCCTGGACTTAAGCATTTTGATGAGAATAACTGTATATTGTGAATATAGGCTACAGAGTATACTGTATACATTATAAGATAAGATAAACTTTATATATCACACAGAGTATGTACAGTATATATTTTTTTACATTAGTACTGTATACATTTTTACATTTTCTCCTGGAGGTGTGCCGCAAGATTTTTTCAGTGAAAAAAAGTGTGCCTTGGCTCAAAAAAGGTTGAAAAACACTGCTCTAGTGCAGAGTGGGAGAGGCTTTTGCATTTGTCTCTCTTAGGTAAGTAAGTCATCTTTATTCATATGGCAGAATTCACAGACCAAGGACACACATAGCGCTTTACAATTTAGTGTTGCAGTAATTTCTAATCACTCCACACACAGTGATAATGAGAGCGAGATGCCGAACACCTGGCTCATCGAAGCCTCTTGACTACCACACTCTGACACATCACATTCACACTCTTGTTTTCATTGTCTTAAGCAGGAATGGCTATGGACCTTTATATCAGTCGTTTCAGTTCTTTCAGGGTTTTTCAGACAGAATGAAGACAGGGTAAGTATTTTCTATGACTATATGCATCACAGCAACCAACCCGCAGATGTTAGCTAGCGTTAGTGGCCTGATCACTTCAATATTAGGTCTTGCATTGATCCCATGTCCATTTTTTTAAGGCCAGTTCTCACAAAGTTTTTAGTGGTAGGGGAAACCAGAGCTCCCGGAGGAAAAAAACAACGCAGACACGGGGAGAACATGCAAACTCCACACAGAAAAGGCCTCGTCTGGAGGTGGAATCCAACCCAGGATTACCGTGCTACTGTGACATGCTGCTCACTGGACTCTCGAAAGCAAACTGTACATTTTTGGCATCCCGCTTTGATTTGTAAAGCACAAATTTTCCTTGTATATGAATCATGTTCACTAAAATCTTGGCATTTAGTTCTGGGCTGAAATGTAAATATTCCCATTTTGTTGCTATTTCTTCATTCAAATTAGCATTTTTGAGAAAAATCACAATCAAACAGTCAGTTTAGTTATGGTTATATTTAAGGTTGGGGTTGAGGATAAGTTGGTAAGATTCTAGGGAGGGAATGAGAACAGGCCATATTATATTAGGTTTTCAACAAGAACATTTTATAATTCATAATAATCACCAAGAGGAGGCAAAGTCTAGTCTTCATGGCGATAATTTGAACCTCTCTTGTTTTACCTTTTCCTACAAGATAGACCTCAATACAATCATCACCATCATAAAGCTCCATCACAGACTTTTGGTCCAGGATAAAACAAACACATGTAATACTTGAGGTATATTTCACATCCTGACAAGAGACAAAAGCGGTGATGCCTGGTGTTAAAACTTTCCACTGCTCGAAACTCATTCAAAGGAAGTCTTATCAGGGAGAGGGCTGTTGGAACTGGTGTGAAAATGGAGAAAGGAGAACAACCGAGTTCCTGTCCATGATCACTGGCCATCTGTGCGGCGCGGAGGACATCCTGCCGCCACGTTGATCATCGTGCTGCGGTCAGCTTCTTCCACTTAAATTACATAATGCCGTTTCTCTGTCACACAACACTCATGAACCACTCGGGTTTGGAGGTTGGACTGGATTAGGGCCAATGTAATTCAATCTTACCACGAGGTAGAACAATCACGCCGAACCGGAGAGAGAAAAATGTTACGAACGCAGGAGTATGTTTGTATGGAGCCTGAAGGCTGTTCGAAAACGCTGTCGCTTTCAAAGAGTGGCGTGATATTTGAGAGAAGTGGAAGAGAAGGCCATAACATATCCACACAAACACAACCACAACACAAAGAGTATGTTTACAAAGCATGAGAAAACAGAGTAGGATAAAAAACTGACTATTCTGCTTGGCTCTCAAACTGGTCTCACCACTCTGCTCCTAGTCTACATGCAGGCTGTAACCAATTCGGGCGTTCTGCTCTCCCAAAATTCCATCCACTGAGCGGCGCTGTGATCAAAAAATGACACCGTTTGTTGCCCAGTTCACTTCCGGTTGATTTCATACAATGGCGAATATGGCTCACGAAAACAACAAACGATTGACAG